CGATTATGCGCCGAAACAGATTCCATTGGGCGTAAAGGGCAAAATAGGATTGAAAATTAAATGCACGGATCACTGAAAACCAGCGATAACACCAGGTAACACACGTTCCAGCCGATGTACGTTGTTCAACTTGTTTCGATGTTGTCTTATCGAGCGCCCAAGATGATCCCAGAGCCTTGAGTGCGTTATTAAAGTTCTGAATGATGGGCTCAGTGGTTCAGTGTGGGCTTGACATTGTCCTGCTGGAACAATACCACTTGTGGGTGTCTTTTGAGAAAGTGAAGGACATCTGGCTGCAGAGAATGACATCCCTGTAACGTTCGGTGTTCAGATTTCTACGAATGATGACAAGACGTGTCTTCATTTCACCATTCCGACCCACCACGTGGCGCCACCGGCTCCAAACGGATGAACCTCTTGGGCGCATCCTATAGACAAATGTTCACTTCTCCGTCCTTACACCAACATCCGACCATTTTGATGGAACCTGCTCCCCGTTGCTAAACAGTATCGTCCACCAACCACGTCGCTGCCAACGTCGCACAGTTCGAGGCGACTGACATCTATTTCGATGTTGACGGATCAAGGTCAGTCCGCTGTGTGATCTGTTAATTCCTGCAGCTCGTAATCGTCTTGACACTGTCTGTTGACGCAGCGTCCCAGTCCTGTTAGTGGCAGTGACGTCACCGCCAGTAACGTGGGCTGATGCCGGTTCTTCTGTCCAGTGGTCACATCGCTGAAGTAATCGGACAATGGTTTGTCGGCTGGACCCGAACGTTCTTCCAATATGAACCTGCTTAGCGTCTACCAGCGCCAGCTGAGATCAGAACTGAGTTGAAATTATACTCAAAGAATTTTTTTTCAATAATGTTTGTTTCATTCAAGAAATTACAGGACTCAATAAACGCTTCAACATATTGTGTTTCTTAAATTCGTGTCTAAATAGCACGTTATAGGACAAATCTGTTTGGGTTTTTTGTCGAAAATAACACGAAATTCAATTACATTGTTTTTTAGACGATCATAGCTGCATGTCAGTGATATATCCGTTTAGTCATCATGTTTGCTTTCATTTTTATTATACCTCAAAAGTAAAGTTCTCGAACTCCAATATATTGTTTAGGTACAATGAAACCCGTGGTCCCCTTAGAGTATTTATACATACATGTAGCTTTCGTTGTCTAATAGACACTCCGTTTGTCTCGATATTCTTTCTTTGGACTGCAGGTTAACAGGAGGTCCATGTTATGTATATTGGCAAGTTAACGGTTCTGGCAACATGTCGATATATCATGACTCATATGTACTCATGGGCAATCGTTCATGTAACAAAGTATGCTTGTCGTTAGAGGCGTCTAACGGGATCGGGTTGTCAGGCTCGCTGACTTGTTTGATGCATGTCATCGATCCAAATTGCGTGGACTGATGCTCATGATATTAATCACTGAATTGTCTGGTCCAGACTCGATTATTTACAGACCGCCGTCATATAGCTGGAATATTGCTGAGTGCGGCGTTAAACAACAAACCAACCAACCAATTAATGTAACAAAGAAAGGAAGAAATTGTTTTACTGCCTTGGATGAAATATCACCACATGGAAAGAACCGTGTCTGAAGGTACAGTGAGGTGCAGCAGTCCATATGTCACCTAAGGGGGTTCAGAGGCACGTTCACACAGTCAGAAGCGAGTGTGTCCACCTTGCAATTGATGGGGCCTGAACTTTCGTCTTACTGACGCCACTAAACCTTACAGAATAGTTTGAGACATGACATTCCTAGCCGATGAAGTATATGCCGGAGCTCCCACAACGTCGTTCAATTTCATCCCAGACATGTTCGAATGGTGACGGATTATGGCATAGTCCAGGATAACACTTTTATGTTGTTCCGAGTCAGATGATGATGCACCTCTGACAGTTTGTAAGGGAAAACATCCATGTCACAATATTTTGTATCTGTGAGTACATAATGATATTATTAAAAGGCAGAAATTCCTAGTTTTATACCTTGACACTGTTCACGTCAGTTATCACGTGTTCCAGCGGCCTCCCTCCAGAAGCGCGTCACCTGCGACCTGCTGTCCTTCACGATCATGGGCAACTCCTTCGGTGATTCTGCCTGTGCTGCTCATTGCCTTCTTCTTCACCACAACGGTGGACACTGCAGCGGTGGCGTCTGTGTCTGTCGATAAACGTTAGTAAGTATAGGATTGGACAGAATTGTATACATATATTGGTTTCTTTGAAACTTTGATATCATTTGCATCGATCCACGCAATAGCGATACGATGATTTGCATCAAACAAAACATCGAGCCTGACCACCCGATCCCGTTAGGGCAGCTCTTTGCGACAAGCATAGTCGCATTTAACGGCAAGTATGGGTTGCTGAAGACCTATTCTACACCGGATCGTCACGGGTCGTATATTGTGATGACTCCTTCAGAAACAGAAGGATGTTTCCTCTACCTTCAACCCGGTATCATTTCCGGGATAAGAGATGGTTTAATCAATCCCTCCACTCCACTCCGCTCCGCTCCGCTCAGCTCCACTCCACTCCACTCCACTCCACTCCACTCCACTCCACTCCACTCAAGTACCTGACTATTCCAAACAATTCAACTCTCAATACTAACTATGCAGGGGATTTCGATATTGTATCACTAGTTCCCACCAGGAACACGTTCTTGGCTGTAGCAATAAATGTACTCAATAAAATATATCACAGAACTAACAAATATTTCTTTAATTTCAGATTTACACTGCAGATCAACATCTGTGTATCATTGACTCTTCAATAAACAGATTATAAAGCTTTACACCATTTCTGTTATGTATATAACTGAAGAATCAGTTCATCTTAGTCGCATTTGGGGTTACAGGAGGTTGTATTTACTTTGATAGCTAATCTACTTTCAAAACTAGCACACATTATAAAAACAAGGCAGGAATATGCTTTCAGTAAACAAGTATAAAATCCCTTGGTTCATTTCAGTGATTATGTCTAATTACTGAAGATTTCAGTAATTAGACATAACCACCGAGTGAATCAGTTATTAGACATAATCACTGAAATTTTCATTCATTAGACTTAATCACTGATTATACTTGTTTCCTGTAACATATATAACTGAAGAATCAGTTCATCTTAGTCGCATTTGGGGTTATTTTTTCTCGACATAATATTTCTTAACTGATCCTAAATTTGATGAAGCGTTCGCTCGTCACGCCGAAGACCGGGGTTCGATTCCCGACATGGGTACAATGGGTGAATCCCATTTCTGGTGTCCCCCGCCGTGATATTGCTGGAATATTGCTAAAAGCGGTGTAAAACCATACTCACTTAAATGTGATAATATTGTCAGTGTTGCGTTCCATCAATCGCTGGATATATTTGAGTTTAAACTTCATACGCCTGTTGTGTACTGAAAGTTTTCATTGACACAGAACAGGTACCTATTTAATGTTGGGTGAACGGAACCACATTTCAAGAGAGGACTTTGTTCAAGAGTGTTTCAGCGTTGAGCAGTACCAAAGCGCTGAAATAGCCCCAGTGCTCTTAAACCGCTTTTTAACTGCCAATTCAATAGAGAGCATAGACAGACATTCCAACTACAATATATGTTTTTCAAGTTGTGCTAGTTATATATCCATTCGAAAGCAGTACAGAAACTTAATTTTACCTGGAACCATGCTATTTAATCAACGGCGCAGGTATAGTTTCATCGGATATCAGTCTGATCTATATATTCAATGCAGCGATGTAAACAAAACCATTATTCGATACTCTCCGTTGAAGATACCACCATTTAATAAATATACAGGTGTATTACATATTGTAAATTGACTTCACTTACTGACTGGGACTACCTTTGGTCATCAGCTATTAGTACAGAACAACTGTTTTCGCTACATCTAGTGGTTGCTATACGAAGGATTATTAATCCCGGTACACCTTTCGAATATACACGCATCTCATGTTCCCTAAAAAAAGTGATAAGTGAATTAAATAAAATGTTCATTCTTAGTTTATTTTCAAAATGGGGACCTATCAAAAATAGCAGAGACCTTCGATGGTACATGTCAAACTGTACACAGATAACAGGAATGTATGTCTGTCACTCATTTATGGGATAATTCAAAATGATTTTAATTCCAGTCATGATCATTTACATGAATAGACAAGACTCCAGTTATATATAGATCATGGAAATGTAAGGACTTTTCCATTCCTGTCATATATAATGTAAATGTATTTCATTGACTGTGGACATTATTTCAATCCATGTCATATATAAATTATTTTTATCTTTGAGAATAATCCAGGTGCATGTCTAAGTATCTTGCATTTTGTCACAGATGTGGTTTCATAGTTATCATCTGGGCTCATAATGTAAACTGGATCATTGTCTGCATGTAATAATTGTAGTGATCACTGTCTTGAGTCAAACTAAGACCGTGTCTTATTGCGATTAGTGTTGTAATCACTGACTTGTGTCAAACTAAGACAGTGTATGTATGTGATTAGTGTTGTTATCACTGACTTGTGTCAAACTAAGACAGTGTCTGCAATGTGGGTAAAATTCAATTATTGCTGGGGATTGCCAATGATCCAAGTCTACCCCTAATTTAATATGTAGAGGGGAATGTCTGAGTACTCTCCATTCCTTAAAAATAATGGAGCAGAGGCCCCGCAGTGGCCGAGGCCCATTATTTTTAAGGAATGGAGAGTTACGAGGTTACGAGAGTTACGAGTTGAAAATATTTGAAAAATTCAAATGCTGCTTCAAGATAATGTACAGTTGACAAGCAACTCTCCATTCCTGAAAAATAATGGGGCGTTCAAACAATAGAATGACGTCACAGATGTGTTTTAAGGCAATGTAGCAGGCAAACCCAACACACATTACAAGGTATTAAAATACCAAAGCTGCACGTACACGTGACAGGTTTCATAAACACAACGAACCTGATATTACAACATGGACTTTGATACCTCGGGGTTGACACTGACACAGTGACATGTTGTTTCATGTATGTGCCGATTGTGTTACACAGTTCAAGCTACGTGCAGGCAAGTGAATTAGTGATGGATTCCGCTTGACAAATCCCAGGGTGTGAGTGACAGTTTGTGATAACTATCAGGTCTGTACTGTACTCTAACTACACTAGAGTGGTTCAGTCATGTTCGTGTGCGATGGAGCCAGGGGGAGATGTTGTCTCCTCCTCCTTACTATCCTTGTGGAGTTAGCTACAGCATCGGGTAAGCGTCTTGATCTGTACATTCCACGTACATTTCGTACATCTAGTTGAGTGTGTTACATTTTGGCTCATTAATCAAGCATTCTGTAGACAAAGAAGCAAGGTGAAAGGGAACTTTGACCATATAAACATACTCATAACTGAATCAAGGAGAGGCTATCTGAACGACCACTGCATCGAGTTTATGTGTTGGGAAGATCAGCAACCCTGCCGAGTCCTTCGCTTGGATGAAGTCGGCTGGCCTGAAAAGTGAAACAAAAGGCTTTCTGGTTATTGCTCAGGACCAGTCACTTCACACTTGAAACCGTCAATGTGTGTTTTTGCATAACAATGTAAATATGAAATGTATTTTATGCTATGAATTTAATGAGATTCTCCAACACATTGTAAGTGGATGCCCAGCGTTCAACTTGGCACAAACACAGTATCTTAGGCGACATGATGGAGTGGCTCGATCCTTTTACTACCGTCTTCGCCAGGTCTTAACACAGAGATCCATCCATGGTACGACTCAGAATATGTAGATGGCGTCATGGAAAATGATAAATCATAACACTCTTTGGAATAGGCCCGTATACAGCCTCCAGGCCAACAGACCTGGATACTTTTGATTGTAGCAGATACCAGATATTCTTTTAGTATACATTGCTGTGTGATGAGACAATACATATATGTACATTTGTTGTTTATTAATTTCATTATCCACATTTGCCAAAAACAATCTTAAGCTCTTTGGAGTAAAAATGACAAACTGAAAACGGTGATTTTAATATTTGTTGCCCAATCATTATATTTCGTGAGTGACTAGCATGTTATAGGCTTTTACTTGGAATCGCGTGGATGGAAGAGTCGTTAGTTTTAACCAGTAATGTATACATCGTTTAAGTGAAAAAATACAGTGGTTATCTGCCACATTCCCCAAGTACAATACCATTTGGGATAATGGATCGACCTCCAATTACGTGTTTTCATGCATAAAGAAAAACATTTTCATATTTTCTGTTGCATCTCCGATCTCCGATCCATAAAGTAAAATTAGCTTATCTTTGTATCACAAATTTGGAAGTATAAATAACAGGGCAGATAGATATATACTCATACGCAAAAGAAACGTGACCACTCTTTTCATTGAGTGGGTCAGACGATTTGTGAAGGCCCTAGGGATCCCCGTGCACACATCCAGAGCAGCTAGTTCATCGGCAGTTGTAGGGACTGGGCGCACGTTGTGCAGACGCCTTTTAACCTCATCCAACAAGTGTTCGATGGGTTTCAGATCAGGGCTGAGGGCGGGCCACGGTAGAACACGGATGTTGTGTTGTTGCAGAAAGGCCATGGTAGCTCTGGCAACATGGGGACGAGCGTTGTCCTGCTGGAAAATGTGTTGTTGATGTTGTGCAAAAATGGAACGACGTGAGGTCACATCACTTGGTCGATATACCGCTCAGCAGTGACGCCGTGTCCCCGACCTTGACCAACATTCAGAAAGCATATGGGTCCAAGTCTTGAATTACGTCCAATCCTTGCCCATGTCAAGACGCTAGGTCCAGCCCGTGGATCCCTTTCCACAACGTTTCTGTCAGTGAAACGATCACTTCGACGCCGCCAAATTCTGACTCTTCCGTCTGCATGGGAGACACAAAAGCGACTTTCATCAGAGAAGACGACACGCCTCCACTCACGATAACGCCAATTTTGATGACCCTGTGCCCACCGAAATCTTGTTGTCGATGTCGTGGTTGGAGAACAGGACGACATTCTGGTCGGCGACATCTGAGGTTGTTGGAACGGAGACGTCGAATCACAGTATCCCGGCTAATGTGTCGATTATGTGTTCCTATGGTCTGTCGAGCACTTTCACTTGCAGTTAGGAACGGATGTCGCTGGTGTTGACGGGTAATCTGCCGATCTTGTCGAGGTGTGGTGACCCTAGGACGACCGCTCCGAGGAAGGTCATCTGTGGTCTTTGTAGCATTGTATTGATCCAGGAGACCGTAAATTGTGGTTATGTTAACGTTGAAATGCTGGGCAACATCTTGGGCAGACTCTCCAGCTTTCAAACGCCCGATAGCCTGGTTTCTCCGAATTTGAGTTAGGCGTGGCATTGTTGACCAAGGAGTGGTAGGTCCAAGAATCGGCCACAGTTTTATCCCCAATACAGTTCGTCACAGTTCGTGCATTTTAAATTTCGCGAGAAATGGGTGCATGATACCCCCATATTCATTGAAATGGTGCGTTTTGGCGATTCGTTTTTTATGTTGCGTTCCAAAATGCAACCAAAAATATTGATAACACCATCAGGCTTCTCTACATGCTAAATCTCGTATCAATTTATGATTCCGTGTTTGTTACCTATTTGCTTAAAACCACTTGCGTTGCTTGTGCGTGTGAGTATATAAGCAGTATTCCAAGGTAAGTGTAAGATGAAACTACCTCTATACATGCATCTTTGTTTATCCATTTCTCTTATTTGGATAATTTCCCCCGGATTTAGAAAACAAGAACTTTAGTTATATTTAGATTGACGGATAGTGACCACTTGTCACTATCATTTTCCAAAATGTTGATTTGACGTTGACGACCAATTTTCGAATCAGAGCAAAGGAAAATGTCAGGAAAATGTAAAAGGAATATTTCTATTAGATCTGGATGTAACCGTGTGCCATTTTTAGATTTTGAGTTAAGTTTATTTTTGAAAAAGCTAACAGTGATTGTCATAATAGACAACCTTGACGTTCTCCCAAGGGCGATCAAACAGGATTGTAAGGTTATTACCACTCGCAGGATAAAGTACAGTGTGACGCCTCAATCTTTTACAAGAACATTATATAATTACTACTACATCCGGGAATTGTGCCACGATAGTATATTGTGCGCTGTGTAGTTATATTATGAAATTCAAACTTAGAACTTTACCCCCTTCTTCTTTACAACCCCACACAACTGAATTAATAGACAGTTAGTCATCATAAGCCTCTAGGCATGTGAAGGACAGATCTAAATCTGACCCATCAGTGACCAAAATTATGTCCACTGCAATTCCCTATTTTGACTCGAACCATTCAGTTTTTTTTAGGTGAAAGATTGATTTGCCTTTGCATGTGTTTGTGAAGGGTGCCACAGGTGGAGCAGGATAAGCTCACCTTTTCGCTACCACCTGATATCATGTTTATGATGTAATCGAAACGGTGCAATGGGATAGTAGAAATACTTTCATTTCTTATGACTAAGTTTAGGGTTTTGTCGACATAGCCATTAATTGAAAATCACAGACTTTAATATGTAGTTACTAATTCTATCATAACGACATATTGTCACCAATTCCGTATAACTTGTGAGACTAGCTGGGCTCATATGCACTGACATTTGATGTTTGACTGTCATTATATATGCATCATAATTCCATTACATATTCCCGTTTATAAATGTTGTTGCATAATCCTAAGGCAGCTGAGAATGCAAAAATAGAGTGCACACTGATTCATTGACCGGAGTAATAATTATGTTTAGAGAATGGAGTGCAGAGCAATATATATTGTCTATTGTTAATTGGTATTAGTACTATTTATTTACAGATTAAAATATATAAATTCAGCATAGAGGGCTTGGGTGATTCCGGCACAGTCTGCTTCTACACGCAACTCAGACACCGAATGAGACTGCACCCATGAAGCGCTGCCTTGTCGAACCCACCCAGAATGTCCCCAAACACTGAAGCATTCTGCATTACCCAGAAGGGTTGTATTCCTGGAAGCAAACCCGGGTACTCTCCCAATGTCAGACAACAGATTGGAAGGTACGAAACCTAAGGCACAAAGAACAAATAGGAGTCGGACATCAGGTACTTGGGATGCAAGCGTAGCATTTGGGAAGCGAGGTCCGCATATTTGCCATGTTTTTTCTGACTCTTGTCACATTAGTGACAAAAGGGATAAAGAATTCAATGATATAAATGATTTCATTGGATTTATCACAAGACCAAGTTTGTTGGCCTGGATAGATCGATGGCTATATACGGGCCTATTCCAAAGAATTTTGAATTTATCATTTTCCATGACGACCATATTCTTGATCGTACCAAGGATGGACCTCTGTGTTAAGACCACAAGCATGGCGAAGACGGTAATAAAATGATCGCGCCGGGCGATTATGTCGCTTAAGATACTGTGTTTGTGCAAACGCGGGGCATCCACTGACAATGTGTTGGACAGTCTCATTATATTCATTGTATATTCTTCATTTCGTATGTACATTTTGATGCAAAATCACAAATTGACGGTTTCGAGTGGAAAGTGAGTGGTCTTGAGCAGCAAACAGAAATCCTTCTGTTTCACTTTTCAGGCCAATCGATTTCATCCAAACGAAGGACTCTGCAGGGTTACTGATCTTCTCAACTCAGCGCATTTAAACTCGATGCAGTGGTCGCTCAGATAGCCTCCCCTTGAAAAACTGCGTCTGAGCCGCTTTCATATGGCTCTTCGCTTGGTTGACACTTTTTCTGTACCTTCCAGCAGAAGAAAACCCTCAACAATATCAATACTGACATTGGGAGTAGTAGTAGTAGTAGTAGTAGTAGTAGTAGTAGTAGTAGTAGTAGTAGAAGTAGTACCACTGTTCAGGTTTTAGCATGTGTATGTGGTCTATTTTACCTTTCACCATGATATTGTGATCTCCAGAAAGATACTCATGTCCAGAGGGGTGGCTGTTGAAACAAGCATCTTGCTACAGATGGGGGACGACTGCAGTCTCACACAGCCAGGCAACGGTTCAGTGTCAGGAGTGGGGGGCAGGTCTCAGGGTCATCAACAGTGAACAAGAAAACTCGCTTTTTACAGGTCAGCGTTAAACACAACTGTTTTCTGTTAAGGTTTTTGTTGTGTGCATAGTAACACCGTGTAGAAAGTTACACTGAAGTGGATAATTTGCTGTAACTGTATAATAACTTTGTTTAGGCTCGCTTTCTGGCAGTGGGACCAATTACTGGTTGGGAATTGACAGATTAGGAGGTAATGGCTGGCGTGTTACCGACCATCTCGGTCAGTCACAGGTGAGTCATGTCTTGTACATGTCATATGTACATTACAATATTGAATATAACATTCGCATTGACGTTTGCTACTGAACGGGTAAGACTTGTTCAATTATTGAGTTATATAATCCCGCTAACTAATACCAACTTATTTAATTACATTGATAAGGATAATGTTTGGATCGGACCTTGGTTCCCCTTGTTGCATGTCCCGCAATTATTTTCTAATATTTTAGGACTGGACTCAATAGTTTGGTGACCCAATGCTTAATAGAAAACAAATTTCAATTACTTTTTATAAAATACAATATCAAAACATCTAATCTATCCTGATCTTACAGACAGGAAGGGTGTGAGACAATGGAAAACGTATTTGTTACTATGTTTGCACTAACTGATGAACAAAAATATGTTTCCTGTCAATGAAATTCAACTATATTTTTTTAAGTCTCTCACGAGTAATGCCTCCAAGAATAGGAACTTTATGTATATTTATCCCCATGTATTTATTTTTAAGACAATTCTTTTATAATTCCAGGAACTAGTCTACAATAGATTATCTTCGAGCTACAATCGGCGCGACAGAAATTGTGCAGTATGGTCCTCAACAAAGGCTTGGTCAACGGTTAGGTGTGATTCGGCATTTCAATTCATATGCCAAAAGCCAGCAGGTAATATTTGTTCCAGAATACTACAATTTGGAAAAGGAAATATTTTGCAGTTTGGTGTTTTGTTTAAGAAACACTTATAATACAATAAAGAAACTGACTTCAATGTAAATATGAATGGTCAACTTGAATTAACATGATGAAATGGTATGTCGGTCGTTTGTATTTTTAGAATGTGTCAAGAATATGTTTGGAATCAACTGTTCCTCGGAATGCCACTGTAAAGGGGAGCCATGTGACCCCACGTCTGGGATCTGTAAACATGGCTGCCTACTAGGGTGGAGTGGACAATCATGTGACACAGGTGAGATCAATGTAAGACTTACTTCTAGTTTCACTTGAATTCGAAATACGAAACTCTCTTTTTGGAGCACGGCAGCAGACAGCTTGTGATATACTACGAAACGTGTTATATATACCATGATGAAAGAAGTCATGTATCCCGCAGAAGCTTCAGTAACTGGTGTAGCCACCGTTAGTATTCACTAATGCTTGACAACGTTGGCGTATACTGTTCATCAGGTGCTGGACATAACGTTGAGTCCTCGTTTGCCATTTTGCGACTAATCGCTGAGCCAGTTAATGGCGGTTGGCGCCAGGGACGTGATGTCATCGAATTCGCAGCCGTAGTTCACCCCACACATGCTCAATAGGTGACAAAGTCGGGTAAATATACAGGTCAATCCATGTGCGGACCTTTCTACTGCAGGAAGTCGGTCACCACCCTGTCACTTTGAGGTCTTGCTTTGTCGTCCTGGAACCAATCTGCTGATCCAAACCGGTACAAAAGTGTCATTACCTGAGGTTGAACAATCTCGTTGATATCGTTCTGCGGTTCTGCGGTTCTGCTGGTAGATATAACACTATTCTATAGATGTTAACACATTTGAAGATACATCTGTGTGTTTAAAGTTGATTTTGACGGCCCGGGCCAAGTCGGACCCAACACAAGCAAAACACTTCTGATAGAGACTATGTTGAGAATGTAGAGGGAAAAGGGCTTCACTTTGAGCCCCTTGTTTTCTTTAAGTACAGCGATCTGAGACACTATAAAGTGGTATTTAGGCGGATATAATACTAATCTATAGATGTGAATCCATTTGATGATACATATGTGAGTTTAAAGTTGATTTTGACAGCCCCGGCCATGTCGGACCGAACACTTGTGTGACTGTTGAGAGTATAGGGAGAAGAGGTCTACTTTAACCAACGTGTCTGCTTTAAATACGACGATCAGTGACATTATAAAGTAGTATTTACTTATATATAGTACGGTCCTATAAATATAAACGCTATGCCGACAGATGGAAATTTGTGTCACGATAGGTAGAAGTATTTGATACGTTTCAAATCTTATTTCGTTTAACGATTGCTCTGTTACATGTTACCAAGATCAGCGACGCTTACACACAGCTCCACTTTCTGGTTTTCAACCGATTTACTCCGAATTACTTATTTATGGTGCACTTTTTTGTTTGGTGATTGTTCATTAATGTCATGTGTGTATGTTTCATCAATTATATGTAGGTATGATCGCCGATAATGAAGTAATTAGCCAGTAACACTTTGGCCCGCCTTGGCCCGCCTTGGCCCGGCCCGGCCCGACTTTTAGGCAATCCCGGTTATCGGTGTAAGAACGGGGGCGATTCTGAAAAAGCATTAGATGTCCTGAACCTCTGCCAGAGTCTGCCGATAATGCTTTGCCTTACATTTAGACGTTGAGTCACAGTTCCTGAGTGTTGTCTATAGTGTAGCCAGCCAATGGCCCTGTCCCTGTCTTGGATGCTGATTTGTCGTCGAACCATCTTCAAATTCAATTGATGATGTATGGAAAATAGTCCGATCTTTTATTGCTAAAATCGGCATGCATTTAATGACACTCATGCAAAACAAGTGCAAATGATGAATGCGATGGAATAATTGATGCTTCAATGCAGTTTGTTAGTTTAGTCTAAGTTCGTGCTTCAAATCCATGAAAAGGGAAATCTGGGTTAAGATAAAACGTTTCTAAAGATCAGCGTTGTGATTGCATGTCCCATAATAACATGATGTCTAAAGTCCAAATGAGACCCCAAAGGGGGATATTCTGACACTATCTGACTTAAAAGAGATACTTACAAAAATTATCAAAAAAAATTCCTTTGACCCTTAACTTCTTTTGAGTATTATTTCATACATTTCCATTTGTTCAAGTGAATGTTCTTCAATATGTTGTCCACGGTTTATTTTATTTTCAGAAAAACTCAAAGCTGAAGGTGAAGTATTACTTTCAGACACTACACATAAGTTACACATACACAGATATTGTCTTGCAAGAAACCATGTACTAAAGCTCGTTTTCCTGCCAGGTTCATCGTGGAACAACGAACGTTTGTGGATGTAGAATATCTTATGACATCTTTTTTCACGGACTCATCATTACCATATATAATGAATCCCATGGTCATTCCGGACCAGTGTGGATCTAAAGTAGTTGATAACTGTCCAAAGAACCGACAAATTTGGATCGAGTGGCTACAAGTATTTATCTGGATGATTGTGTGCAATTATTTCCAGACTATGCGAATTGTTGGCCACGACAGTGCTGTGAACCACTGGTTTGTGTTATTCAGAATCGACCACATATAGTTCGCACTTTGCACAGTGGTTTTCTTCTGACTGAGAGTCTGAACCATTTACGTTTTACCAAGTACAACAATAACCATATTGTTGAAAGAAAGTAAGGGAATTGTTAACTCCTATTTGTCATATCTTCATACATAGAGGTGACTACATCCTATATGTGCATTTCGTTGTGTACCTTGAAAATTTAACTCAGTGCATGATACCAGTTTCAGGAAGAATTATAAACAGCAATAAGATGTCAACAAACAATATGAATTATTCGTGATAATTTGGTGAGTTGTTATAGAGGTATTATGTTGAAGACTATCAGGATAGCAAATATATGGGATTGACTATGATTGGCGAAAGGTTTGTCTTTCGTCTCAGAGTACTGCTTGAATAGCTGATTCAGGGTACTTCAAATAGCAAGTAAAATAATTGCCACATTCCAATTCATACATTTGGCAGCACATAATATCATATCAAGTACATACATACATAAACGAGTCACGTCTATTCAGCATGTTGAAAATTGTCATAGTGTAGAATGACTTTTTGTCTTTTAGCAAAGTTCTACTGCTTCAAAATCAACGGTGTCAATGAGATGGTGTTCAGGACAAACCAGAAAAACACCACCTATCGATCAGTGGCTGCCTTAGACAAGGGAGGTAACCTTATTACATCATGTGACAAAACGATATTCGATTACTTTGAGGCAGGAGGATTGGCTACACTGAAAGTGAGAAAGGATGGAGACCGTTACGAACCCAAGTGTGGAGAAATTAAGGTATTCTGCGCGAAGAATACTCGAAACGCTAATCTAAAATTAATTCAATAATGTTTAAAATATAGATTGTGCCCAAGTAAATGCAAACGCGATTACATTATGACTATAGAATGTTTTTTTTAAAAACATTTTTATGTTTTCTGTTATGATAAATTACACTATTACATAAGTTCAAATAATTTAATTTTATTGACTAATTAAGAACCGTGTGACATTTAGCCATTATAGACATACTCTAATGTGACTACAACGGTCCTTTTGTCTCTTCTCTGCGCCAAAGGGATAATATAATGATACCGAGCAGACATGCTCAAGGAAATGGTGTTCAAAGTGGAAATTACACCATCTCATTCACGTTTACTGGCGTATCATAGCCTCGCATGTTTCCATCATTTAAAACTCGATTAATATAAAGTTAGTTACGCAATTGTTGTCTTATCAGTAATTTATAGCACTTACAAGACCCATATGATCAATTCACTAGGGGGCTTCATCGTCTTCAAACTGTTCCTGAGTTCCGTCTCAACGTTCACTGATAAGTCATATTCATCAAAGTATTTGCAAAGGGAATCATTTAGAGCACGTGCGACGTTATGCGCGGTTCACATCTGTACATTGCCCATAGACATTTACAGACCCCTGCTGACCTTCATGATAAGGTTCGACTGAAAACGTTTATTCAAAACCGACAGTTCACTACGTAGGCACATCGATGGCCCCAAAGATAGTTCCACGTAGGACAGTCCCAAGGTAAAATTGTATACGTGAGTTTTTGTAAGTTTTTGTGGTATCCATTTTCATGTCTTTTTTCCATGCGATAAAGACATTCATGCTATCTCATGTTCAATGTTTAACATTAGGAATCAGACCACGTGGTGACGTGGAGGTTCAAGTTTCAGGAGTTCCCTGTGACATTTTCGGCGTATGATGTCCAATTCGAGGTGACGTGCGACTTCACCGAGGCGGACACACTACACAGACGTATTGCCAGTGAAGGCGAAAAGTAAGCTGTTAGTAGTACATTGTTAAAACATCAAGTTGACATGGCCTAGTTGCTTTTGTAAATACGGTACACTTGTAGCGGATTCTAATCCGAGATTCGCCCCATTTTTAAGCTCTGTTTGTCACTACCGCTGTAACCAACTTTGTACATATCTACGTCATGCATAATTTTTGGCTCTTCCCCCGCAATCCAACTGCACGACGATTTTTTATTCTATTGGTAAACCTGAAGCAACCTTATTTTTAGTTTCCTGAAACTAAGCTATTTTCTTTTCAAAACTTAGTGCCCATGATCATTCGTGTGAATGGATTTAGTAAGGATTTGATTGATACAGTATTGCACAGTTCATGCGGTAACTTTCAAACTAGAGTTGATTCAGTATTAACTGTTTCTCTACCTCAAGTACGCTATACGTTTTGTGACTTTGTCGCCATCCTCTAAACATAGACCCCCGAACCAGACAACAACGTTAACTGAAAGTAAGCTGTCCGTCAGTTTTGACATCATCGACCCTTACAAGGATGTTCCTGTGACTACTGCCACTCTTGGACAGCAGGTGCAGCTGCAGATGAAGCTCAACAGCGAAGTCGGTATGTAGTCTATTCAATGAGATTACAACTGTATGATTGTACTGTCTTTGGCCTCTCCCCAAAAACGTTAAAATTGATATGTTGTCACTGATGTCTTCCAAACGATCTACAAAACAGAAATCGAAATGACTTTTCGTAAGCAATGTTACTATTGATTGTTTTGTTATGTTTTATTTGTTTATTTTTTTTGGTACAATAATAGATTATATAGTATATTCCGTTACATCCGTATTTAATATTGACTGGTCCAGTCTACAAATAAATATGTAAACAGCAAGTCCTTGCTCAATGCAAAATGTAAAATTTCCGTTTCTATTGTGTACCCCTCACAGCTTCCGGTTTAGAACTGGGTCACAAGCATTCTGGATGTGTCGTCATATAACTGGAGTATTGCGTTCAACAAACAAAATGTATTTGGTGTAAAACAATTGCTGATGATTTGCTACATAATGCATATAATAAATATATTACGCCAACTCCAGAGAATAACCAGTCTCGATTATCCCCCGAAACATATCACACTTGGCGTCATGGGCAAAATAGCAGGGAAATACATATGAATGGATCGCTGAAAATCAGTGATGACGCCAGATGTAGGCGAAAATATCAAGCATGTCCTGCCCTACCGGGAGATTTGTTGCAGGTTCATTCAGCAGTAATATAGTTCAATGGTTACTTCAATGTTGAGTGTCTTAGGGAACTATACGAAGTCATTACAGGAGGGTTATTGGATATTATCAGTGGCATTCAGTCAGCAGGTTCCGATCAACAGTTTATTTGTTGTTAAAGAAATACTTATTCTCGAACTCATATTCAGATTGTAAAAAGCCTTGTTCAGGAACGTGGAAAATCATGCAAGTCAAAGTCGCTTACTTGGTATAAATTGGTATAATATTGGTACAAATAAGTGGACATGAGTACAATAAACATTTGTTGCAGCAAACATCTTCTGACATAAGCAATAAGAAAACAACATGCCTTTGACTAAGGCGTGCTTTATATAAAGAATATGTTTCGTCGAATAAGCCAGATTGTTTATTCTCTGACGTTAACGTTTTATATTTAAATAATATATCCCAATTAAGATCCTCGTTCCAAACCATACATTAACAAATTTTCCCAAGCAAAACCTAGATAGATTTTCAGACTGATGGAACCTGTTGATAGTTTTTAAAGACATCAATCAACTGCTTGTGGCACACTTGTACTATATATATATAAGCAAGGAACTGTGTTAGATTTCTTGAGATTTGTTTAAGATTTTGTGTTTTATGCTGTTTCAAGCGATTATGCTGGAATATTCTAAAAGCTGCGCAAAGCCATACTTATTCACTCACTAACTCTCTATGCTGCCACATGGATCAATCATAAGAATGTTCCCATCCCTCTATCTTTCTCCAAGAGAACCTTCTCGGCAATTTAATACATTTTGTTAAAGTTTTTTGTGTGTTGTCTAAGTGAGTTTGTTTTGCAGTTTAACTTGCCCGAGGGTGTTGGGGGCTGCTTGCTTGACGCTTTACGCTGTAATGTGTACATAGACGTAACATTATCATGCTGTAACCGTCTCTCTTTCAACTTTGTTGGTACCGGCAAAGTCATATTTGGTAATAGTTAACAACACACTGAGTCTGTCGATTCCTTGCTACTGCTATATCTATGCAATAGTTTTGAAGTATATTTTGTAAAAGCAATTACATCACTTCTCACTGAACTCTGCAGTACATTGCCATGTTCTCGTGCTTCACTGGCACAGGAAGTCAGATTATTCCAAGATATGTTGCATCTTTACCAATCTTTACACATTTCGTATAACGGTACAGTAACGATATCAGTACAGATTTACATGCAATATTGTGCTTGACTGTGTTGTCACTTTCCTTTATTTGAGTTGTACGTCATATCTTTGTGTTTCAGAGTATGGAATCAGCGCCATAGCTCCTTTCAACTGTTCTGTCAGCTCGCCTGATGACCATCACTATGTATTGCTTTCTGATGAACATGGGTAATTACAATGTTTAAATCTGTGTACATCGAAATGTCAGGTGTGAATATGAAATCTGAAATGATTATGTGAAACATTTGTTTAGCAAAGAAATATACTAAACCAGAGTTATGACTCGATAAATTCGTCAGGCAATGAATACTTTAGTTATTTTTTTATGCAAATTGTGCGAATGGCGTGTGCGACCTGTAACACAGGACGTGGTTACTTCCAGTGGTCCATTCATATCATTTCCACAATTATTTCCCCCATAACGCCAAATGGAATCTGTTTCGGTTATTGACAATATATATTATTACTTCCAATATTGCTCTACTAAACATATCTAGAGGCCCAATCGTCTAAGGAGCCGCAATTTGCTCTGCAGAGTTGCGACCCTTGAGAACGACAGAAACCTGTGGTCGTGGGTTGGAATCCCGGTTCGCACCGACTGTTCTAGGTTTGTAAGCACCATACTTTTCGTGGTTTTCACCAAAGTGGTAAAGGCCTGAGACCGACATCACTTAGGCTCCTCCCACATTAAGCTGACACGCTGTGATATAACCTGAATACTGTTCAAGGCATGTTTTTCAGAAGATCCAGCATGTCACCCCCTTTCCCTAACCCCACCACCGCCACAAGCAGATGATCAAATGATCGGTCCCTAACTGGGTTATTTGTTAACATGTTTTGAAGGTGCATGACAGAGAACGCCCAGATTCAGTTCCCTAACACGGACCTCCTGACGTGGCGTAGTGAGCTGTTCGAGACCTTCGCCTTTCCCGGATATGACAAGCTCCTCTTCCGGTGTCAGTTCCATACATGTTTCGACGAAGAGCATCCTATCTGTCATGATGTAAGTGTCACATACATTGGTGGCTAGAAAATGTACACGTATGTGCATAACTGTGTACAAGGTTTACCAATGGTATATAATATATGTACTGTGAAAATGTTGTCTCATATGCCACGTATTAATACAGCGACAGATTTACAATGTAACTGAAAAACCGAAGGTCATAATCTAATGAAACAAACGCAGAAGTCAGTAATTCACCCTGACATAAGAACCATTTGTTGTAACTGTAACGTAACTAAAATAATACGTTGTTTAACGAAATGTATTTATTTCAAAATGTAGTGTGTTCAAGGCATTCCATATCCTCGTGTAGCAAGTCCAACAATTCAATCAACGCAAGCCTGCATTATCATACAGTGTGCTCCCTCCACTGATGTTTGTTTTGTTTGTTGGTGAACGCCGCACTCAGCAATATTCCAGCAACATGACGGCTGTCTGTAAAATAATCGAGTCTGGACCAGACAATCCAGTGATTGACATCATGAGCATCGAACCACCCAATTGGGATCGATGACATGTATCAACCAAGTCAGCGAGCCTGACCACCCGATCCCCTTAGTCGCCTTTTACGGCAAGTGTGGATTGCTGAAGACCTATTCTACCCCGGAATCTTCACGGTTCTCCACTGATGTAAATCCTCTTATATCATAACATGTTTCTAATAGCTTCAGAATGTAGTTCAGACATTCACTATTATGCTTATTGTCTCCAGCCAATAGATGTACATGAAGGGATGTATACCACCGTTGTATCTATTACAGATGTGCACCCACTCTAAGAAGAGGAAGGTCAGGAAGATGCGGAAGAGGAGACGTTCGCACAAACCTCGTCATCCAGTAGAGGTCGGGACAACACTCGCTGTCAAGACTGGCAACGTTTAAATCAGAACATAATGTGACGATTTGTGTTGGCGGGCATAGATGTCCAACGCCATATTTACCCTGTTTTGGTATTTCGTATTCCTGTGAGAATTACAGTACTAACCTGTGATGTAACCACTGAAAGTGAGTTGGGGAATATGGTTTTACGTCTTTCTAGCCATATTCCAGCAATCTCACGGCAGGGTGGCATGGTCCTTCGGCGTGACGAACGCTGCACATAACCTCTGGGCTTTGTAAAATTGATGATCATATGATGGAGACACTTACTTTGAACATTGGTTTAATAATTCTTTTGATGTTACTATTTTATACCTGTCAGTTTGTCAATATTAATTGATTGGAAAGGTAGAGATAGAAACGTTCTGACACGTTTCATCAATTCCATATAGATTAATACCCTTTCTTGGTGCGTGGGTATTGCTCAACCTCATGGTTTTCGTAAGATGTACCATATGATAATAAATATTCTGATCATCATCATCATATTAGTGTGAATGAACAAATGACATCTACTAATTTATGGTGGCTGAAGTAATTCCAAAGATCTATACCTAATTAAGAGATAATTAGTGCGCTTACTCACTGAATATTAAATGGTTTTTACCTCACCTTCGTCGGCGATGTTGTAAGCGATATGTCGAAGTCGTTTCTACAGTATACTTGAAACTGATCGGGTGTGGTTGAAGTTAATGATTGGAAATTGTGACTCCATACACGCCGTTCGGTAGGAAAGCTGGCTGAATTACTTGAACACGGACAATGGTGCTGAAAGACAAACGGTCATGGACGAAGGTACTGTCTGATTCTGAGATGACTAACTCTAGAGTGCTTGGCTTCCCATTTAGCAAGTACCATATTGGTGAGATCATCAGTACCCCTTTGGAATGAGTTCCCGGGCCAAATCATGCCTACTTTGTGCCATCTGTGGGCTACTGTCAAGTATGCAACTGTCTCGCCATAATGACAACTGTAGAAAGTACACGGCAATATTGACCCGTGAAGATCCGGGGTAGAATAGGTCTTCAGCAACCTATGCTTGCCGTAAAAGGCGACTATGCTTGTCGTAAGAGGCGACTAACGGGATCGGGTGGTCAGACTCGCTGACTTGGTTGACGCATGTCATCGATCCCAATTGCGTGGATCGATGCTCATGATATCAATCACTGGGTTGTCTGGTCCAGACTCGATTATTTACAGACCGCCGTCATATAGCTGGAATATTGCTGAGTGCGGCGTTGAACGACAAACCAACCAACCAACAATATTACCACATTATTATAAGTTAGTCGTCGATACATGGTTGCAGCAATCAGACTACCATGTTTTAGGCGTGCATTTTCCGCGAATATATAGCGTTTGGGTACATTCAATAATATTAACATTAACTAGACACGTTCCATATGTGTGAATATTGTAACCTTAATTCATATGGAGCAAATTAGGAATATCTATCTCTCTATCAAGTATGGGGAATTGTGTTGCGTATGAACGTAGTGTGTTTACTAAACGTTCATTGTGAGGTCAAACATCTACAAACCTACAAACTGGAATAAAACAAAAGATGCTAAAAGGGTGAGAGATTTTATGAACTTATATAATATGTTTCTGTTGTAAAAAAACATGATCTGAATCAGAAACTGGAGAGCTTCACATATTGCACCCCTGTGGGGATTAGAACTCGGTCTTTGGCGTGACAAGCAAACGCGTTCTCCACGAGACTACCCAACTGCCCCATATATAATTGAATATATATTTAGGAAAAACAATGGAATGTAAGTAAGACCATTGCGAACTGATTTTAACAAATATTTTTTTATCAAATCGTATTGTCACAAAACTCAATAAGCTAGTAAATTCCGATGGAAATGTAATATGGCATGACTAGCTCTCTCGCCTACAATGTTTTTTGGATGTTATGATGTTTTGTGTTGTTCGGATATTATGAACATACTTTTGGAAACTGCAGCTGCACTCTTTGCTGTCTTGTCTGACATTGCGAGAAGAGTCTGTTGTCAAATACTCAGCTACGTAGCGGATGATGTATTCCTACGCTAACCTTACGTTTGATTTTTCAACTTCGTACACCACTATCCCGCACGATAAACTTAGGGGAAAACGTCATTGCTTGATCCATGGGACAGTTGCAAAACGTGGTGACGATAGATAAAGTTGCGGATAAAAAAAAAATATATTAAATTATTATCAATCGCTTTTGAGCTAAGTTGTGGTTTAGAATTTAAAAAACTTGAGTTCAAAAAAAATAAACATAATGTTTATCGATCAAGTAAACACAGAGGTTTAACTCAGGGCTTCCTTTGTGCGTGTACTCAAAGACTTATTTCAGAATGGACTGAAATCCATCGCTGCAGTTGCATCGTGACAAACATGGTTGTGTTATTTGTTGTTTTACGCCGCACTCAGCAATGTTCAAGCTATATTACGGCGGCTTGTAAATGCCCGAGTCTGAACCAGACAATCCAGTGATCGATATTGTGAGTAAAGATTCATACTCGAATCCCCACGAGGCCGTCACACCCGTTTCAAGAATGGCAGTATACATTTAAATACGTATCCGATTATTGATGAACGGTTAATATAATACGTTTATGAACTGCATATCATATTTTACGAAAAACATTTTAATGATATATACCCTGTAAGTCTTCCTTATGGCAGGAATGCAAAATTTGGTTCCATAATTACCGGCTTTATAACATCTAGTATTTCATAATATTAACACTATCGAGAGTGAGAATGAGTACGTGAGATTGGTTTACGCAGTATTTACCAATATTTCAGTCAGCTCTGAAGCTGCTGCAGGTCATAGAAATGTATCGCTGAAACGTATCATATGGTGCTTACAACCCAAACCACCAAGGCCATTCTGATAGCACATCTTTTCTCATTATGTTACACTCGATTTATCTAGACAGTGTTTCTGTATCACACGGTCGAGTTTACAGTGTTGAGTGTGATGCTAGTTGATCTGTCAGAACTTACATTTTTTGTCCACTCATTGACATAATTGACTTAAAATACATGTTCTAACGGTGTAGCAACCTTTGCGCAGTGGGGTTCGGGACATCTAATGCTAAAATATACTCTTCGTCACTGTCGTACAGACCGTCTCCGTGGTCTCGTGGTTAGCGTCCGCGTGGAGAGCGGAAGGTCAGGAATTCGCTCCCTTTCCACGTCATGCAAAAAGGTGTCAAAAGATTATACTCCTTGTTACCCTGCCTAACGCTCGTCGGCTCGGAGTCAGTATACTGAGTGGGGTATCCATGTTAAACTGCGGCATCTTATCTCATGGCATGCTAGCACTATAAAATCGGCATTAGTCCGGACCAGTACAAGCAGCCACACACACACATACACAAGTGCATGCACGTCGCTATATTAGTTTAATAATCTTTACGCGACGTCAAACCCCATTTCACTACACCCACACTGCCAAGCATTTGAATCTATTCTCACACACTTCAACGTTTCTACTCTCTAAGCCATAGTGCATTATCCCCCCTACCCTACCATCCCTCCAACTATACACCCCAAATCTACCATCCCTCAAGCATAACCCCACCCCCAGCCACCACTAACCCACCATCTCTTCAACTATACCCCACCCCCAGCCACCACTAACCCACCATCCCTTCAATTATACCCCACCCCCAGCCACCACTAACACACCATCTCTTCAACTATACCCCATCCCCAGCCACCACTAACCCACCATCCCTTCAACTGTACCCCACCCCCAGCAACCACTAACCCACCATCCCTTCAACTGCACCCCATCCCCAGCCACCACTAATCCACCATCCCTTCAACTGTACCCCACCCCCAGCCACCACTAACCCACCATCCCTTCAACTGTACCCCACCCCAGCCACCACTAACCCACCATCCCTTCAACTGCACCCCATCCCCAGCAACCACTAACCCACCATCCCTTCAACTGCACCCCATCCCCAGCCACCACTAATCCACCATCCCTTCAACTGTACCCCACCCCCAGCCACCACTAACCCACCATCCCTTCAACTGTACCCCACCCCCAGCAACCACTAACCCACCATCCCTTCAACTGCACCCCATCCCAAGCCACCACTAATCCACCATCCCTTCAACTATACCCCACCCCAGCCACCACTAACCCACCATCCCTCCAGCTATACCCCACCCCCAGCCACCACTAACCCACCATCCCTACAACTGTACCCCATCCCCAGCCATCACTAACCCACCATCCCTTCAACTGTACCACATCCCCAGCCACCACTAACCCACCATCCCTCCAGCTGTACCCCCGCCCCAGCCACCACTAACCCACCATCCCTCCAGCTGTACCCCACCCCAGCCACCACTAACCCACCATCCCTCCAGCTGTACCCCCGCCCCAGCCACCACTAACCCACCATCCCTTCAATTGTACCCCATCCCCAGCCACCACTAACCCACCATCCCTCCAGCTGTACCCCCGCCCCAGGCACCACCGCCCCACCGTCACCTTCCTGTTTCCGTAACATCCTGTCACATGAAGGTGACCTTTATGAAGCTATTGACCTTCATGAATTAAAGAAGACGCGTTGCGGCTAAAGCATGGCGGCATCCAGTGCAGGCATGTTGTGGTTGATGTTGGCTGCGTTCTTTATCATCGACGTTACTGATGGAGCAGATACACCGGGTAAGTCAAACCTATGTGACTCGCTATGATGAACCCTCTCTGTGACCAGATCACAGGTTGAGCACAGTGTGAAACACGACGAGAACGCAATTCAAGCGGAGTATCAACATGTTTCTGTACAACCCAAATTCCGGGTACCATACATGATTACCTTACAGTGACGGGGATGTGGCCTACGCACGCGTACGTTACAATGAAAAACTGTACCTTGCTGTGACATATGTTAGATATGACCGTTTCACACGTGCACCTTAGAGTGACAGATATGTTCCCTACACACCTGCATCATCCAGTGACAGATATGATCCCTACGCAAGTGCACCCTACAGTGACAAAAGTGATCACTTCACACATACACCTTGCAGTGACAGATATGATCCTTAAAATCTGCGCTTTGCAGTAACTGAGGCGATCCCCTTTACAGCGACAAAAATGATCGCTACACACGTGCACCTTACAGTATCAGATATGATCACTACACACGTGCGCCTTACAGTATCAGATATGATCGCTACACACGTGCATCTTACAGTATCAGATAGGATCGCTACAACACATCTGCATCTTACAGTATCAGATAGGATCACTACACACGTGCACCTTACAGTATCAGCTAGGATCGCTACACACGTGCACTTTACAGTATCAGCTAGGATCGCTACACACGTGGACTTTACAGCATGAGCTATGGTCGCTACACACGTGCACCTTACAGTATCAGCTGTGATCGCTACACACGTGCATCTTACAGTATCAGATATTATCGCTACACACGTGCACCTTACAGTATCAGATATGATAGCTACACACGTGCATCTAACAGTATCAGATATGATCGCTACACACGTGCACTTTACAGTATCATATATGATCGCTACACACGTGCATCTTACAGTATCAGCTATGATCTCTACACACTTGCACTTTACAGTATCATATATGATCGCTACACACGTGCACCTTACAGTATCAGATAGGATCGCTACACACGTGCACCTTACAGTCACAGATGGGGGTCCTATATCACATGCACCTTGCGGTTAATCCCACACACGTGAAACATGCAGTGTCAGATATGATCGCTACAACACCCCTGCACCTTATAGTGACAGATATGATCACAACACACGTGCACCTGACAGTGACAGAGATTATTCCTACACACGTGCACCTGACAGTGACAGAGATGGTCCTACACACGTGCACCTGACAGTAAGAGATATGATCACTACACACGTGCACCTTACAGTGACAAATGTGTTCCCTACACACGTGCACCTTCCAGTGAAAAGAGGTGTTCCCTGCGCTTTGCAGTTGCAGAGATGATTCCTACACACATGCATTCTATAGTGAGAAAATATATTTACGAGATAAACCTACTGTCTTAAAATTTGATGTAGTCCCTATTTAAACATTTGAAACATTGCTAAAGCGTTTCGAAACTTTTAAACACAGTAGGCTTATCTCCATTCTGGCCTAACGGCCAGAGCGCTTTAAAAACGGTGCTCACATGTCATAATTTCATCGTAGCCTGTTGCATACTTGCACTGTGTGGACTCACCAATCGTTTCTTGGAAACCGACGCGACACGTCATTTCGTGGAAATCAAACATGCCATCTCCCATTGCAGTAGTGACAGGTTGTAGAAATAGCGAAACAAATACTAAACGAATATATTTCTCCAACAAACTTTATTAATTAACATTCTACTAATTATTTTAAATGTGTAAGTTTTATTAGTTAGTCAGCAATTACCCCCAGTAAATAATACGAATTCCCCGAAATGGGATTTGGCTGAACTTGACCTACATCGCAGTAACTTGTCACTACTGTAAAGATGTCGGGATGTTTGTTTGTGAGATTTCGTGGCCTTTGGAAGGAAGCAGCTTTTTCTGATGAATTTTCAAATCCCCTACTTCCAAATCATATTAGAGGCCAGCGTGCATTAGAGACCCTGCGTTCAATAAAAGAAATACCGTAACACCATGCAGGTTTGATTGGCAGCCTTTCTTTAATGGATCGATAGGAAGGTTATGGATGTATTCATACGCACGGATTTCGTGTAAAAAGTGCGTAAGAGGTTACAGTAGGGAAAAGGATACCTCTTTTTAACCAATCAAGCATTCTTCCAGTGTTATGGTAAAATACCAGACACACACCTTGAACTGACACGGGTGATGCCTACACACGTTTCAGTGTCAAATATGATCGCTCGCTACACACCTGAACCTCGCAGTGACAAAGATGGTTCCCACACACATGCACCTTGCAGTGACGGGTGGCCCCTTCACACGTGCATCTAAGAGTGACAACGATTACCCTTACACACATTCACCTTGAAGTGACAAATGTGTTCCCTACATACATTAAATGTTTGACTTATTACTATTATTTGGGAACAACAGGAAGTTTCAAAAGTATCAATTTTTTTGTCAGAATTATTTCAAAGATTGAAGCCATCATACAATCAGGATGGCACAGATTAGATGCAGTTCCCATGGCCTAAGAATTGAATTAGGAAGATTTACTAAAGAAAAGAAAGAAGATAGAAGACAAATATAATATTGTTTTGATGTGTAAAACATTTGATGATCTTCGAGCCCAATTAATATCACAAACACATGATACCTATGCTACTAGACACGGGTTTAACGTATTAATGTCGTCCACTAACGAATACACCATAAAAAAAACCCTATCGATGAACATTAATAAAGCAATATACGTGTGTTTCAGAAACAAACTGGCACCCTGAGTCTCCGACTATCTGTATTATCATGGGTCTGTGACCTACAATACTGAATGAATTTAATTGAAAGTTCTTGTTCTAAGTACAAACTATGTGAGGCATTTCAGACAAGTTCAAGTGCCCGGAGGGCTGGATGCTGGGGCTTGAGTCCTGCTACAAGTGGGGCACCAGCCAGATGACGTTCTCGAGAGCCCAGGATCAATGTCGTCAGTCGGGTGCCACAGTCAGACTCATCACGAACAAGGAAGAGAACCAACTCTTCTCCGGTATACACGAACCTCGGTTTAACAAGTATTAACAAATATAGTAATTAAACATTACAGTGAAAATGAGATTTTTTTCTGAATCGACGAATTTCTAGATTAGGTGAAATGTAAAAGCTTTATGTACGGTTATTTATCATTGCGCGACTACCTGTTATTTTACCGCCGGTGAATTAAAACAAGTAGTGAAACACACCAAGAGTAAAGATATAATTAGGAGATAAACATACTGTGTTTTCAATGTAGAGCTAGGTTACCTGTAGATTTAACCCCGCTAAATTGAATTTGGAACCGAACGCGCAGCGTGAGGTTTCAAATGTTAAATTTAGCGCGGTTAAATCTACAGGTAACCTAGCTCTACATTGAAAACACAGTATGTTTATCTCCATTCTACCATGACTAAATAAAATGCGATCTCCTTGGTGTTAGCAAATATACTGAGTGAAGCGGCATGGGTTGAGTTCAGTATTTTGAGTGGGTTATCTGAATTACGGAATCACCGAACAAAATATGGTGCCGTATATACTCAAGCAGTTTGTTTACACCGTAATACTTCACTCTAACATGTGACAGGCATTGAAAGCATATAAGCACGGCAGCTTGGTAAGCTGACATGAGGTGGGCATCCCTAAAGAAAACAAAGCAAGCTTTGCAAGGCTTTCGCTCTACATCGCACGTCACCATTATGACGTCATATCGCTCATTGTGACGCGAAAGAAATGACGTCACAGTCGTATATAGAAAGCGCCAAAATTCCAAGCTCTCTGTGTCTCCAAAACGTAAATACATTCCCTGTGTAGATTTCTATCGTGTTTCTGCACGAAATGTATTGCCGCACATCCTTTGAATATTGTAGTAACCGCGTCTGTGCATTTTGTAACCTGTAATTGCAGATATAATTATTTAAATATGCCTACCGACACTGACTGAAAATAGTACTATTCTATGAATATTAGCTTCCGCGGTGATGCGGCCGTCAAACCAGCTGTTTCAATCAGAGGGGGTTTATTGTGATTTAATAGCCTCTGATTGACCAATCAGAATCGAGTAAATTCCAAATTCATGGTAGAATTACACTTAACACGTAAAGATCCATGTTCTGTTGTGTAGATAGAGGGTCAGTTCCAGTCATCGTACTTGCTTTTTTCTAACATACTTTGTCGTGTATGTCAGTGTCCGACACTGGAGGTACCTACTGGCTCGGCATCGTGAAATCCTTCAATCAGAAATGGGGATATCAGACAAATGGAACAACCACGGTAAGTAAATGTTATATTTCGGTTTAGCCATGTTGTCTTGTCAAGGGCTGGTGACACGTTTTCTTTAACTGTGTATTTATTTCCAGTACCTGACGTACACGAAATTCACCCAAAACATCCACAACTATAACTATGGAATGTCTTGTGCAGTATGGCAATCTCAAACGCAAATGTGGTTGGAGGAGGCTTGCACTAACCGGCATCTGTTCATCTGTCAGAAGCCTCCAGGTGAGTGTTTTGTTTGTTTGTTTGTTGTTTAACGCCGCACTCAGCAATATTTCAGCTACATGACGGCGGTCTGTCAATAATCGAGTCTAGACCAGACCATGCAGTGATCGACATCATGAGCATCGATCCACGCAATTGGTACCGATGACATGCATCAACCACGTCAGCGAGTCTAACCATCCGGTCCCATTAGTCGCCTCTTACGACAAGCATAGTCGGCTTTTACCGTACGCATAGGTTGCCGAAGACCTATTCTACCCCGGAGCTTCACGGGTATCCAAGGTGAGTGAGCTTCCTTGCTTGTCGACCGCCTCCGTGGTCCAGTGGTAGAGCGTCCGCCCGGAGAGCGGAAGGTGCAGGGTTCGATCCCGGGCCGCGTCATACAAAAAGACGTTAAAAGATTGTACTTGTTGTTACCCTGTCTGGCGCTCGGCATTAAGGGGCTAAAACAAGGACTGGTCGGCTCGGAGTCAGTATACTGTGTCTGAGTGGGGTATTCATGTTAAACTGCGACATGGTATCTCAGTGAGCTAGCACTATAAATCGGCATCAGTCCGGACTAGTACAAGCAGCCACACACACACATACACGTGCATGCACGTCGCTATATAAGTGCAATAATCTTGGACGCGACGTTAAACCAAATTTCACCTCACCTCACCTCCTTGCTTGTCATTATTAGCTTATGGTATTTGAATGTTATTCAGTTGTCCAGTTTCTAATTCTAATAAAAAAAACTATTGTAGACTGTGTCCCTGGTCGTTTTGGAGAGAACTGTGCCCGCCAGTGTCACTGCAAAGGGCATATCTGCGACGCCACTTCCGGTCTCTGTAAATATGGCTGCCAGATAGGATGGACGGGGGAGTCTTGTGATACAGGTGTGGCCAGCTGAACATCGTTTTGGTTTTGGTTTTATCGGGGAATGTTGAAAATATACCACTGAATTTAGTATTTTTGTGGTAACAGAAAGGGCAAATAAATAATAGTTGTTCATATTAGTTAAAGTCAGGACATGTTGCTGTCAAGAAATTCAGTGAACGTAAAACGTCATCTCGATTCATCTCAACAAACTGTCTGACAATGATAACTGTATGTATGACCGATGGGTCCAATCCTTGAAACGTAACGACGTTCAACTACATGCACTGATATAAATTTCAGAAAAAAAGAAAGCCGAAGGTATGTATCTATAATTTAGTAGTGAGTGAATAAAAATTATGATTTTACGCCGCTTTTAGCAATATTTCAGCACTACCACGGCGGGGGACACCAGAACAGGGCTTTACACATTCTACCCATGAGGGAACGTACCCGAGTCGTTTGCATGATGAACAAACGGTTAAACTGCTAGGTTACCTCACAGTCCTTCATAATTTAAAAGCGACCGCCTCCGTGGTCTAGTGGTAGAGCGTACTTGTTGTTACCCTGCGCTCGGCATTAAGGGGCTAAAACAAGGACTGGTCGGCTCGGAGTCAGTATACTGTGTCTGAGTGGGGTATTCATGTTAAACTGCGGCTTGGTCTCAGTGAGCTAGCACTATAAATCGGCATCAGTCCGGACTTGTACAAGCAGCCACACACACACACACACACACACACACACACACACACACACGTGCATGCACGTCGCTATATAAGTGCAATAATCTCGGACGCGGCGTTAAACCCCATTTCAACTCACCTTACCTCATAATTTAATAAACATGCAAAGACCCTATCGACACATGAGTATTTGCCTAACGTAGAGGCTATCCAAAATAGCTAATAATACTTACAACGTCATGACATTTGACAATGAGTTTACAACTTATTTTGCGGACGCGGCTTGTAATATAAGCATCTATTTCGAGAGACATGATGCTGTGTATGTTTCAGCCAAGTTCTACTGCTTCAAGATCCAAGCACGTAATGTGATGATGTTTCGTGTAGATCAAAGGGGGACGGTCTACCGGGATGTGTCTGCCATAGATGAGTATGGGGACACTGTTGACACTTGTAGCCGAACCGTGTATGACCACTTCGAGACTGGAGGGACGGGGACGCTGAAGGTGACGCAAACTTTCAACAACAGTTTCACGCCTAATTGTGGAGGAAACGAGGTAAAGTATTGACACGTGCACCACCTAGCTCATGTTCTCTCATCAATATAATAAGCAGATGATATTGAAACCAATAGTTGAAACCATTTAGGTTAAATTTAAATGATATCAAACATTTGGCACTTTTATAACTTATATGTTACATTCTATTTTAATTATTGTTATAGAATGAGAATACAATTAAAAACTAGTATTCATCTCTCATCACTCCCATAATAATGACATATCTATCTATTCACACACGCACACGCACACGCACACGCACACACGCACACGCACACACACACACACACGCACACACGCACACGCACGCACAGGCACACACACATACACACGCACGCACACACACACGCACACACACACACACATATTTAGTTAAATGGAATCGGCGGATAATCGAGACACACACACATTGATGCGTTTTACGTTGTAGGTGTCGAATGAGGTTCACTCCTGGAGGTTCAGATTCAGGGAGTATCCTGGCACCTCCTCCGCCTACGACATCATGTTTGAGGTGAAGTGCGACTTTACTAACGCCAACTCCTTGGAGATTTCCACGGCCTACAACACTGACAAGTACGTGCATGACCAGCAATACAGGCTGAGAATATAACAAAATATCATATATCAAGGTATAATACGTACAAGGACCCGTCTTAGCCTACATGTTCAGCAAAATGTTACAAAACGAAAAAATACTCCTGAAAATCATCAGATGTATTCATATAAAGGAGATTTAGAGGGTTTTTTCAACACTTACAAGATTTCGACTAATCACATCACTAAATTCAGAGACAGTCCTTTTAGAGGTTTTCAGTAGCGTTTTCTTAGGTATTTGTTCGTGAGCAAGTCCTTGACCAAAACTGGGTTTTTTAGGGAATATATATAAAGGCAAAACAAACTATGTTAAAACATTCGGCTCATTGTTGCTAAAAAAAATGGTTGTCAGTTTCCAGCTGGTAGCATCTGTAGAGATTGGATATTATGCATTTATTGAGTCATTCGATAATGATATACATGTACGGATATGTTTCTAAAAAAAGGGGGCGGTCGGGTAGCCTAGTGGTTAAAGCGTTCGCTCGTCACGCCGAAGACCCGAGTTTGATTCCCGACATGGGTACAATGTGTGAAGCCCATTTTTGTTGTCCCTCGCCGTGATATAGCTGGTATATTGCTAAAAGCGGCGAAAACCATACTCACTCACCCATTCTAAAGAAAGAGAAGAGATTGTGTAGCCTAGCGGTTAAAGCGTTAGCTCGTCACTCCGAAGGGGCGGTCGGGTAGCCTAGTGGTTAAAGCGTTCGCTCGTCACGCCGAAGACCCGGGTTCGATTCCCGACATGGGTACAATGTGTGAAGCCCATTTCTGGTGTCCCCCGCCGTGATATTGCTGGAATATTGCTAAAAGCGGCGTAAAACCATACTCACTCACTCACTCGTCACTCCGAAGACCCGAGAAGAGATTGTGTAGCCTAGCGGTTAAAGCGTTAGCTCGTCACTCCGAAGACCCGAGTTCGATTCCCGACATGGGTACAATGTGTGAAGCCCATTTCTGGTGTCCCCCGCCGTGATATTGCTGGAATATTGCTAAAAGCGGCGTAAAACCATACTCACTCACCCATTCTAAAGAAAGAGAAGAGATTGTGTAGCCAAGCGGTTAAAGCGTTAGCTCGTCATGCGAAAGACCCGGGTTTGATTCCCCACATCGCTACCTTGTGTGAATCCTATTCCTTGGGTCCTCCGCTGTGATATAACAGGAATGTCACTGAAAGTGGCGTTTCATTGACTAGTTTGTAAATGAGAGACTATACGCCGCACCAAAATGACAAATGTAAACGTTACTGTACACATTTTCTTTGACCAGACCTGCCAACAAGTCAATATTACTCACCGAAAGCACGGTGTCCGTGAGTCTGGACATCATCGACCCCGTCGATAACCTCTCTATAGCCGCAGCAAAACTGGGCCAGCAAGTCCGTCTCCAGATGAAGCTGAACAACGTCGATGGTATGCTTAGAACAGACATCCGCTGCACCATGACGAGTTACGCAATCACGACGGACATTAATAGCATTAGAGAAGGCAGCACTTCCATATAACTATAAGAAGACCTTGAGTGTCAAACTGAATTGGGAAACATGCTAGAAAATACAAATAAGTGATGAGGCCGTATTTAATATACGATTCAGATTCTATAAGTTGCATGTGTCACTAGCGGGGAGTGTGGGATTTTAGCTTGGCTTTACACCACGAAACCAAAGGTAAAATCCCGTTTATCACGCTATTGACACATGTCACAAGCGGAAAGACCATATTTACTGTCAAGGTCTTTTTCAGTTTTAACCGTGTTGGTTTCAGAGTCCGGCGTGAACGCTATCTCTCCATACAACTGCTCTATCGGGACACTGGACCACAGACACAACACCATCTTCATTGACGAACACGGGTACGTAGACATGTGGTACATCAGCGTCTGTGCTGTCTGATTGTTTACTATGCCTTCGTATCAAGATTGAAAGAACCAAAGTAAAGAGCCAAAGCTATGTATTTATGTATGTAATAAGTAATACTAATGCATATTTATAACGCGCCTAATCGATACTTTATACCACTCCAGTGACGTCATCTAATCGGGTTAAATCTCATAAACAGGACTGTAAGAATATCCCAGGGATTTTATTAATCCAAATTCCTTTCACATAGTTACATGTGAATGTCTATCGCTATCAATTTGTTTTGCATTTTAAACACATTGTTATTGACATGACTTTGTGAGTAATGATGTAAAATGAAATGACAGATTTTTGTTTATATTTTTTTGTATCCAGCTTGCAACCTTTGTGTCTGTAGTCAAGTGACTCTACCACCAGGCTCCAGAGGCGCTGACAAATCACGATGTTTTTAATAATGACTTTTTTAAAGTACTTGTACGCCAGCAACAGATATTTTATGCCCGTTTCCTAAGGTTCATGGAAAGTATCTTTGATGCTGTCCACACAAATGATGATAAATATTGTATTAACTTTCTTTTTCCGTTTTATAAGTAAGATGAAACACTTACCTTCGGGTTTTTATGATATTTATAACCCTCGTCATGACGCCCCTCGGTTTTATCTCTTGGGTTCGGGTTTTTAATCCCATAAACACCCAATGGCCTGTTTATCCTAAACTTATAGTATGCTCAAGGAGCTACAGGAATTGTATGAAGAATGTATTGTGTGCGCAGTTCTCTGTCTTTATGTTGCGTTTCTTGAAGTCTGGCTTCTTATAAATGGATCCTGGACTTTTGTCGTTGACCTACGTTTGTCTACAACAAACTACATTTGGTTTTCAAAAGGAAGTGGAGGGTCCGGACCCCCTGGACCCCCTTCTGGATCCGCCTGTCAGAGCGATTTGGCGACCTTTCCCTGAAATGTCAAAATTAAGAATGACCCCCTTCCGACGTACACAAAGGGACTGCATGGTCCAACATGCAGTGTTTCGGGTGTGTTGAAGCATTAGGTTTTGGTCCCCAAATCTATGGGAGTCATTTATCAAAGCTGACCTTTCTTCTGACGACCGAGCACAACATTTATATTTAATGCCCCCTAAAATCCCCGGCCAAGTCAAATCAAAAGACGTTAAAGGATGGTACTTGTTGTTCCCTGCCTGGCGCTCGGCATTAAGGTGCTAAAACAAGGACTTCCAGGCTTGGAGGTAAACCGATCTCAGCGAGCCGACATGAGTCCTGCTTTGTACTTTAAGCACACACACACACACACACACACACACACACACACACACACACACACACACACACACACACACACACACACACACACACACACATGCGCGCACAGACGCACGCACGCACATACACACACATACACACACACACACACACACACACACACACACACACACACAACAAAGTCTTGAACACCATTTCATCTCACCCTATATTTATTATGTGGACCTTTTCTATGATGGGTTCCTTGTATTTTGTGTTTCATATGACAACTGTTTTTAATGGAATCGGCGGATAATCGAGACTGGTTATTCTCTGGCGTTGACGTTTTATATTTGCTCTAAACTGTATCGTACTCTATGTTTTGCATTTTGTACACTTTATTTAGTATTTTGTGTTTTGTTTCAAATAAAGCTTACTTTCACATTTGATTCCTCGAATCCAGATGTTCTCCCAGAGATGCCCAGATTGTCTTCCGGAATACCGACGTCACAACATGGCGCAGCGAGATGTTCGAAACATTCGCCTTTCCCGGTTATGATAAACTGTTCTTCCGGTGCCAGTACCAAGTGTGCTTCACAGAGGACCAACACTACTGCAGGGATGTAAGGACGGTTCATATTAAATATTTGAAATGAATAATCGAAAAGAATTTTCCGTGGACGCCATAGACATTGCACGTGTGTATTTATTATCTATCTTCAAGCCACGGAATTATTTTTATAGGCTATTGCTCAGATTCGATCGGTTTGACACCCAATTTTCACAGAATCATAATCGAGTTTTAACTGTCTTCAAATCTAAAACACTGTCTGATGACATGCTATTTGTGTTGCTTGCAACAGATGTGTAGTCACTCCAGGACGAGTAACCACAGACAACCCCATAAGAGAAGTGTGATCTTCAACCACATGGATGAAGAGAAACCGGCAAAGCTGACCACCTTGGAAATTGTCTAATTGTAGTGCTTAATTGTTCGCGTTGCTGTGAGACCGCGTTGTCCTCAAAACTGCAATAAATCATTAACCAGATGACAACATCTTGTGTTATCTCAAGTCTACCAATGAATTAGAAAACTTGAATGGCCTATCAGAGTTTTCAATTTTAATATGTACTTCTTTCTCAATCGTCAAATGACGTTACGACAAGAATGTGTGACAATATATTACGGGCAGAAAAAACGAAATGAATCGACTCAGAGGGTGTGTTTCAATGCACAATAGAGAGCATGGCGTACTGAATGTTACTAAATCGCTTCGCGGTTCCAATTATTCAATTTAGCGCGGTAGCCTAGCTCTAGGTTGAAAACACAGTATGTTTATGTCGCAAATCACACTGTCACATCATTCCTTTACAATATCAGGAGTAGACATCGAGGACATCACCGGAACCAGACAACCCTGGATCTTAAAATCTGTAGGAACATCCCTGTATCAACACGCATCATTCCGTTTGATGCAGCCAGTCAGTGGTTAGGTTTCATGCTTTTAGCATTATATATTCCAACCACATCACGACGCAGGACGCCAAGAATAGACTTCAAACACTGTGCCCATGTGGAGAATCGAACCTGGGCCTTCGCGGTTGGTTGCTTAGTTGAACGCTTTAACCCCTAGGCTTCCCTATCGCCCCCGTTCCACACAATTGTGGGTAGTGCGTACATGTGGTGTGAACATTAGAAACTGTAGCATTCTTTACTGGAAGGTCACCGTGACCCTTCAAAATATAGATATATCACGTCTGTTCTCGAAACAAACTTTCAAGAAAGATTCATTTTAAAGATTACACTCCACAGATCTAGATTAACATCTAGTATCTGAAATGAACCGTTTTACAGATAAAAAACAGTTGTTAAATCATATAATCATATGATGAAAAGGAGCTGAGAGACTTTCTTCATTTTCAGAGTGCCTGACACTTCAGTAATCTAGACTTGCCAAATATTATAGACTTGCATGGGCTGTATTGGATATATTTGATTCGGGATCTGTATGATACTAAAATAAACTCGTGTTCGTCATTCCCTTATGTTTTAATCTAATCTCTAATTTGACCCCAACCCCCCTCAACCCCAAACCCCACCACCCCCTCCACCACCCCGACCACCTTCTCAAAGCTCAATCCCTCCCCAATCGCTTTCCTAGCTTCCCTCTTTCGACATCCTGCCCAAATCTTATCACGTGAAGGTGATCCCTATTTCGCTGTCTGTCTCTACTGGTTGAAGTGACGCTTCGTGAGGAAACATGGCGGCCGGCTATTCGGGGATGTTGAGGTTGATGTCGGCGGTGTTCATTGTCATCAGCTTTGCTGATGGGGCAGACACATCGGGTAAGACAAACCTAAAATGACGACGAGCCCCTTTTCAAATTGAGAAACTCAATGATAACCCAATTCAATCGTTTAAAACAGCAGGATACCTTCAGTGATTCATTAATGTAGTCATCACCGCTATTTTGCCTTTTACGACCAACAGAATCTGTTTCGTCGGATGACCGAGATAACTCTGGCTTTGACGTCTTTTATTTGCGATGAAACAAGTCGTATTAATCATACTTATTTCTCTGTATGTATATGTATATTTCAAGTATGCCAATAGATTCTACTCCTTAGGAAGCTTCACAAATGAACTTGACATGAAACGGAAGAAGTATGTACTGGTATTGTACTGAGATGTAGTTTAGTTAGGTGAAACATAGTGGCGTGAAACCTATAGATGATATTAACCTAACCAGAGCCTCGGATGGGCTGCTTTTCTCTCTAGTCATGCTAAGGGCATGATCCCCACATACGAGACTGTTGGAGAGGCAATATTCAGTCTCGCTTATCTGCAGAAACATCTTCTGCAATCATGCCTATTTCCGGGTCGGCAGATATAGGGTCTAAAAACAAGCCAGATATGAAGCAAGTTCGTCGTATTGACTTGTGCATGCCCTACACACATACACCTAAGTGATAGATATGATCCCTACACACATACACATTGCAGTGAGAGAGATGATCCCTACACATATACACCGTGCAGTGACAGAGATGATCCCTACACACATACACCTTGTACTGACAGAGATGTTCCCTACACACATACACCTTGCAGTGACAGAGATGATCCCTACACACATACACCGTGCAGTGACAGAGATGATCCCTACACACATACACCGTGCAGTGACAGAGATGATCCCTACACACATACACCTCGCAGTGACAGAGATGATCCCTACACACATACACCTTGCAGTGACAGAGATGATCCCTACACACATACACCTTGCACTGACAGAGATGATACCTACACACAAACACCTTGCAGTGACAGAGATGATCCCTACACACATACAACTTGTACTGACAGAGATGTTCCCTACACACATACACCTTGCAGTGACAGAGATGATCCCTACACACATACACCTTTCAGTGACAGAGATGATCCCTACACACATACACCACGCAGTGACAGAGATGATCCCTACACACATACACCTTGCAGTGACAGAGATGATCCCTACACACATACACCTCGCAGTGACAGAGATGATCCCTACACACATACACCTTGCAGTGACAGAGATGATCCCTACACACATACACCTTGCATTGACAGAGATGATACCTACACACAAACACCTTGCAGTGACAGAGATGATCCCTACACACATACAACTTGTACTGACAGAGATGTTCCCTACACACATACACCTTGCAGTGACAGAGATGATCCCTACACACATACACCTTTCAGTGACAGAGATGATCCCTACACACATACACCACGCAGTGACAGAGATGATCCCTACACATATACACCTTGCAGTGACAGAGATGATACCTACACACATACACCTTGCAGTGACAGAGATGATCCCTACACACATACACCTTGTACTGACAGAGATGTTCCCTACACACATACACCTTGCAGTGACAGAGATGATACCTACACACATACACCTTGCAGTGACAGAGATGATCCCTACACACATACACCTTGCAGTGACAGAGATGATCCCTACACATATACATCTCGCAGTGACAGAGATGATACCTACACACATACACCTTGCAGTGACAGGGATTATACCTACACACATACACATTGCAGTGGCAGAGATGATCCCTACACACATACACCTTGCAGTGACATAGATGATACCTACACACATACACCTTGCAGTGACAGAGATGATCCCTACACACATACACCTTGCAGTGACAGAGATGATCCCTACACACATACACCTTGTACTGACAGAGATGATCCCTACACACATACACCTTGCAGTGACAGATATGATCCCTACACACATACACCTTGCAGTGACAGAGATGATCCCTACACACATACACCGTGCAGTGACAGAGATGATACCTACACACATACACCTTGCAGTGACAGAGATGATCCCTACACACATACACCGTGCAGTGACAGAGATGATCCCTACACACATACACCTTGCAGTGACAGAGATGATCCCTACACACATACACCTTGTACTGACAGAGATGATCCCTACACACATACACCTTGTAGTGACAGAGATGATCCCTACACACATACACCTTGCAGTGACAGAGATGATACCTACACACATACACCTTGCAGTGACAGAGATGATCCCTACACACATACACCTTGCAGTGACAGAGATGATCCCTACACACATACACCTTGCAGTGACAGAGATGATCCCTACACACATACACCTTGTACTGACAGAGATGATCCCTACACACATACACATTGCAGTGACAGAGATGATCCCTACACACATACACCTTTCAGTGACAGAGATGATCCCTACACACATACACCTTGCAGTGACAGAGATGATCCCTACACACATACACCTCGCAGTGACAGAGATGATCCCTACACACATACACCGTGCAGTGACAGAGATGATCCCTACACACATACACCTTGCAGTGACAGAGATGATCCCTACACACATACACCGTGCAGTGACAGAGATGATCCCTACACACATACACCTCGCAGTGACAGAGATGATACCTACACACAGACACCTTGCAGTGACAGAGATGATCCCTACACACATACACCTTTCAGTGACAGAGATGATACCTACACACATACGACTTGCAGTGACAGAGATGATCCCTAAACAAATACACCTCGCAGTGACATAGATGATACCTACACACATACACCTTGCAGTGACAGATATGATCCCTACACACATACACCTTGCAGTGACAGAGATGATCCCTACACACATACACCTTGCAGTGACAGAGATGATCCCTACACACATACACCTCGAAGTGACAGAGATGATACCTACACACATACACCTTGCAGTGACAGATATGATCCCTACACACATACACCTTGCAGTGACAGAGATGATCCCTACACACATACACCTTGCAGTGACAGAGATGATCCCTACACACATACACCTCGAAGTGACAGAGATGATACCTACACAAAAGTTCATGGTCATTGTCGGACACTATGAAAGAGAGTTATTTTTGAAAATGAATAGATGCATTCAAGTTAATAATAAGATACAAATTGGGTCATGTTATGGGTTTTTTGCCCTTTACACCATGCCAGGGCAACAATGCCAAGTAAAATGCTTGCCTAAACAGCTAAACGGTCATGAATCTTGATATTTTGACGACGCTTTTTGGTTTTAAGCACGTGTAATTATGTTCAGATCCAAAAAATATTTCGATTTTTACACTATTATGAACATGGTTATTGGGCAAGGCACGTGTTTAGACTTGTGTTTAAGAATCTGAACATTGAATGTTTCTTCATAACATTTGACTATTATTGTGCATTAGGGAACTTCATTTCCATTTTATGAGGGAAAAATCCATTTTTATGTTTAATATGCGGTGAATCTAAACATTGTTTATCCAAACAACACCAAATCCACTTTCGGACAGAACATGTTTAACTCAGGAATACTTTCAAAGGTATCGAGGAAATTATTATTAATTGCATCAAACAACCACACTCACATACATACAACCTTACGTTTATATTGTAGCTGTCGGATGAGGTTCACTCGTGGAGGTTCAGATTCAAGAAATATCCAGAAACCTCCTCCGCCTTCGACATCATGTTTGAGGTGAAGTGCGACTTTACTAACGCCAACTCCTTGGAGATTTCTACGACCTCCAACACTGACACGTACGTGCATGCATAAACACACCGACTGACACACACGCACCCACACAAACACACACACACACATACACACACAAACACACACGTGTCGCTATATAAGTGCAAAATTCTTGAACCCCATTTCACCTCACCTTAATAGGCCTGTTCTATGATGGATTCCTTGTATTTTGTGTTTCATATGACAACTTATTTTAATGGAATCGGCGGATAATCGTGCCTGGTCATTCTCTGACGTTGACGTTTTATATTTGCTCCATAATCTGTAACTGTACTCAGTGATATGTATTTTGTACTCAATATTTAGTATTTTGTGTTTTGTTTCAAATGATAACTTATTTTATCTTTTGATACCTCGAATCTAGAAATCAGCAACATACTGGCCCCAAGGCTGAGAATATAAATATTCAAGTCGTTGAAACACCAGGGAACCTAAGTTACATGATGTATATCGAAGTGCACATGTGCAGTCTAATTATATAGAGACAATGTTTCAGTTAGATAAATGGAAACTGGCTATACTACCAGACCTTGGCTGAAAACGTTCTTTAGACCGTGGAGCATGATCTTTAATCACCTCTGTCACCGACACTGTATGATCTGTAAAATTGTTTTAATGTTCATATTTGTTTTAATAATTTTCACGTTCCCACATAGTTATATTATTTTATTTAGATACATGTATTGATGTATAGTGTGTTGGTTAAAGCACTAGCTCATGACGCTACCTTGTGTCAAGCCCATTACTGGGGTCCCCCGCCGTGATATGGCTACACTATTACTAAAGGTGGCGTACACATAAACACACCTCCTCCTACTTAAACACTGACAAGTCAGTTTTGATATCCGTCTTGTGACTATTTTGTACATGAGAAACAATACCCACCAAAATTGATGGCAAATTGAATGTTTACTGATACACGTATTTCCTTTGACCAGACCTGCCAAAAAGTCAACATCTCTCACTGAGAGCACGTTGTCCGTGAGTTTGGACATCGTCGACCCCGTCAATAACCTCCCTGTCATCACAGCAAAACTGGGCCAGCGAGTCCGTCTCCAGCTGAAGCTGAACAACGTCGAGGGTATGCTTATAATAGTCATTCACTGAACACAGTTATGCAGTTGTGACGATCATTGATAGTATCAGAGAATACAGCACTGTCATACCAGTATAACCACCTCGAGGTCGTGAAATCCTCTCTCGCTCTTTTACTATAAATGGAATATGTACTGAGCTTAAAGGCATAAAAGAAATCAAGCTTTGACTCAAAACTGGGAAACATACTTGAACAAATACGAAGACGTTTCTGTCAACAGATAGATTATATCACATTCGGAAAGACCGCATTTACTAAAAATGTCAGTTTCAGTTTCAACCGTGTTGATTTCAGAGTTCGGTGTGAACGCTATCTCTCCATACAATCGCTCCGTCGGGACACTGGACCATGGACACAACGTCGTCTTTACTGACGAACACGGGTTCGTAGACACGTCATACATCGCAATCTGTTCGTTCTGTCTGTCTACTATACATTCGCATCAAGATTGAGAGAAAGTAAAGCATAAAGGAAATTCTCGATGCTATTGACTCACTTAAACCTGGAAAATCTCCATGCCCTGACAATATCTAAGCGGATATGCTGAAGAGTTCCAAACACATTACTGTTCCATTTTTGCATTCTCTCTTTAAAGACATATTCAACAAAGGTATATTTCCGTCAACTTGGTCAAAATCTATCATTGTTCCTCTGTTTAAGAAGGGTGATACAAGCGGTCCTGATAATTATAGACCAATTTCATTGACAAGTATTTTAGGAAAAGTTTTTGCTATAGTTTTAAACAAGCGTTTAACGCTCTGGTCTAATGTTTATGATAAAATTCCAGAAAATCAGGCAGGCTTCAGGCGATCATATTCACCTATCGACCATATTTTTACACTTTATTCTATTGTACAAAAATATCTTGGATGCCGGAAACGAAAACTGTATGTTGCATTTGTGGACTTCAAAAAAACTTTTGATAGTGTAAATCGTTGTAAACTTTGGGATTGTTTGAGAAAAACGGGCGTTGGGGGTACAATGTATAAAATGTTAAAATCTATATATGCAAATGTCAAATCATGTGTTCGTCACAAAACTGGTGTCACTGATTACTTTGATTGCACTATCGGTGTGAAACAAGGCTGCATTTTAAGCCCTCTTCTTTCTTTTTCTTTATCAACGAATTGTCCCTTGAAATCCAACAAAATGGAAAACACGGTGTCAAACTTTATCCAGATATGTATGAATTGCTAATATTACTTTTCGCAGACGATGTTATACTGATTTCTGATAGTGTTAATGGGCTTCAAACACAAATAGACATATTGTTTCAGTATACCATCGCCTGGAAACTGACTGTTAATAAAGATAAAACAAAACATTTTGTTTTTAGAAAGGGGGTGTCCTCTTGCATCCAGGGAAAAATGGTATATAAATGGGCAACAAATTAATGTTGAAAAAACTTATAAATACCTTGGTGTCATTTTCCCTTTTAATCTGAAACTAAATCACCTCGTCAACGATCTTGCGCTACGAGCTAAGAGAGCCCTCATTACTTTATTTGTTGTTCTTGATTAACTCGGTGTGTCTTCCCCGTCTGTTTTCTTCAAACTTTTTGATTCTCAAGTTAAACCAATTCTGTTATATGGTTCAGAGATTTGGGGTCTCGAAAAATATCACATCTTGGAAAAAAACGATTCTTAAATGTTGGCAAATATACCCCAAATTGTATGGTGTATGGTGAATGTGGAAGACATCCCTTATATATCTGTTCTTATGTACGCGGTCTAAAATATTGGTTAAAGGTTACAGAAATGTCACCTGATCGTATTCCACGTAAATGTTATGAAATGCTGAAATACCGCGACAATGTTGGTTATATAACATGGGTCACTAAAATCAGACAACTTTTATTCCTTCATGGATTTGGATATGTTTGGATTTACCAAGGTGTTGGAGATAAGACAGCATTTCTTAGTGTATTTAAACAAGTTGCATTTGATATGTTTATCCAAGAATGGAGAGCTACATTGGAAAATAGTTCAATATACGACCTTTATAAAACATTTTAATCCTGCTTATCTCCAGAACAGTACTTAACAGAAATAACAGACAGAAAACTTAGAGTGTGTTTTACACGTTTTAGATTAGGTTTGAACAATTTAGTATGTAATACGGGTCGTTTTTCCTCAGTATTAAAAAATATGCCTTTTTGTCCTTTTGCCCCACATTTATTGAAAACGAATAACATTTTATGCTTATCTGTCCATGTTATGAATCGCTCAGAACAAAATATTTCCAAGGTTTACCCCAAAACATCAGTACACTAATCAAGCTCCTCCGTTTTGATGAAATATCTAACGAGCAACAAAAGAATACTATCCTATACATTAATTATGGTTTACAACTTCGCACTTTTGCACACACTTATTTGTCTGATGATCCTCTTGTGAAGCATGATTGTCAAGACTCATGATGAAAACAAGGCATTCCACAGTTTTCTAAAACGAGCCAAGGATGTGGGACATTATCTCAATATTGGTGTTGATTTTGTTGATGGTTCTGTACTGCTGGAAGGTACAGAAATAAGTGTTTACCATGAGGGCGTCATGGAACATGACCAATACAAAATTCTTTGGAATAAGCCCGAATACAGTCTCAGACGTATCCAGGCCAACAAACCTGATCTTGTCCTTTTTGATAAATCCAATGAAATCATTTATATCATTCAAGTTTCTGTCCCTTTTGACACTTATGTGATTGACAAGATTCAGTAAAAACATGGCAAATATGCGGACCTCGCTTTCGAAATGTCACGCTTGCATCCCAAGTACCAAGTTGTCCGACTCCCCATTATTCTCGGTGCCTTAGGTTTGGTACCTCCCAATCTGTTGGCTGACATTGGGAGAGTACCCGGGTTTGCTACCAGGAATACTGCCCTTCCGACAATCTGGGTAGCAGAAGGCTGCAGTGTTGGAGAGTCTTCTCATTCTCCGAAAAGTTCTGGGTGGGTTTGACTAGGCAGCGCTTCCTGGTAGAAGTTCCATTCGCTGTCTGGGCAGCAATGTTGATTTGTTGATGGTCCTGTTGGACGGCACAGCTTATGTGATGTGCAATTCTACCATGAATTTGAAAAACCTGATTGGTCTATCAGAGGTGTCAAATCACACTAACCACCTCTGATTGTCTCAGTTGGTTTGATGGCTGCTTGAAGCTAATATTTAAAGAAGTGCTTCTTTCTTAATCGTTTACAGTAGGCATTTTAAACCATGATATGTACAATTATAGATTGCAAAATACAGAGTTGCGGTAAATGCAATATGTGAGGTTCAGGTGTTCTTCAACTTCTTGTGAGTAGCTTATATGCAACATGTTCCACGAAGGGAGTTGTGCAAAATTGCCTGAAAGCATACACTGCTTTTGAAGATTGATGAGATTATGAATGAACGCTTTTAAATGCCATCGTCATTACTCGAGTGAGTGAGTGAGTTGGGGTTTACGCCGCTTTTAACAGTATTCCAGTCATATCGCGGCGTGTCAGTTTAATGTGGGAGGGAAGCCCGAAGTGATGCAGGTCTCGGACGTTTACCACTTCGGTGAAACCCACGAGCACGGGTATGGTGCTGACAAACCTAGGAACATAATCGGGGCGAACCGGGATTCGAATCCATAATCATAGGTTACTGGCGTGCCTAAGGGACGCAACTCTGCACAACGAATCGCGGCTTCTTAGACGACTGGGCCACCCGTGACCCCTCATGACTCGAAATATGTCGACACTGTCAATAATTGCAACATTCTTTCTTTCCAGTATACTTATATGATTTAGTATTAACTCGTTAGCTTATGAGGGTAATTTGAGCGTTGTGTCATTCAACAGATTCAAATGAAAATATGGTAGCGTATAATTCATGGATATTTGTCTCAATATAATTGATATTATGAAAGATCTTTAGGCACACACGAAGTTACATATTTTACCTTTCAACTTGAAGATCAGAAACTTTTCTATATGAAAAATAAGCAAGGGTGACTTTCCGTTAACTTGGCGATAGTTAGTAAATGATTTTAACTGCTCGTGATTTTACTTTGAACTCGTGCTGTTAGATCTATTTACTATCAGCTCTCACGACGGAGGGTGGCTGATAGGAAGAACAGGTACATTAACATGTAGTGAAACAGTGGTTCAAGATGACGGATGCCGATCAGGAGAACAGGGCCATCAACATGTAGCGAAACAGTGGTTCAAGATGACGGATGCCGATCAGGAGAACAGGGCTTTCAACATGTAGCGAAACAGTGGTTCAAGATGGCGGATGCCGATCAGGAGAACAGGGCTTTCAACATGTAGCGAAACAGTGGTTCAAGATGACGGATGCCGATCAGGAGAACAGGGCCATCAACATGTAGTGAAACAGTGGTTCAAGATGACGGATGCCGATCAGGAGAACAGGGCCATCAACATGTAGTGAAACAGTGGTTCAAGATGACGGATGCCGATAGGAAGAACAGGGCCTTCAACATGTAGCGAAACAGTTGTTCAAGATGGCGGATGCCAATAGGGAGAACAGGTACATTAACATGTAGTGAAACAGTGGTTCAAGATGACGGATGCCAATAGGGAGAACAGGGCCATCAACATGTAGTGAAACAGTTGTTCAAGATGGCGGATGCCGATAGGAAGAACAGGGCCATCAACATGTAGTGAAACAGTGGTTCAAGATGACGGATGCCGATCAGGAGAACAGGGCCTTCAACATGTAGTGAAACAGTGGTTCAAGATGGCGGATGCCGATCAGGAGAACAGGGACATCGACATGTAGTGAAACAGTGATTCAAGATGACGGATGCCGATCAGGAGAACAGGGCCTTCAACATGTAGTGAAACAGTGGTTCAAGATGGCGGATGCCGATCAGGAGAACAGGGACATCGACATGTAGTGAAACAGTGGTTCAAGATGACGGATGCCGATCAGGAGAACAGGGCCATCAACATGTAGTGAAACAGTGATTCAAGATGACGGATGCCGATCAGGAGAACAGGGCCTTCAACATGTAGTGAAACAGTGGTTCAAGATGGCGGATGCCGATCAGGAGAACAGGGACATCGACATGTAGTGAAACAGTGATTCAAGATGACGGATGCCGATCAGGAGAACAGGGCCTTCAACATGTAGTGAAACAGTGGTTCAAGATGGCGGATGCCGATCAGGAGAACAGGGACATCGACATGTAGTGAAACAGTGGTTCAAGATGACGGATGCCGATCAGGAGAACAGGGCCATCAACATGTAGTGAAACAGTGGTTCAAGATGACGGATGCCGATCAGGAGAACAGGGTCTTCAACATGTAGTGAAACAGTGGTTCAAGATGACGGATGCCGATAGGAAGAACAGGGCCATCGACATCTAGTGAAACAGTGGTTCAAGATGAGGACAGCGATGGGGAGAACAGGGCCATCGACATCTAGTGAAACAGTGGTTCAAGATGAGGACAGCGATGGGGAGAACAGGGCCATCGACATCTAGTGAAACAGTGGTTCAAGATGAGGACAGCGATGGGGAGAACAGGGCCATCGACATCTAGTGAAACAGTGGTTCAAGATGAGGACAGCGATGGGGAGAACAGGGACATCGACATCTAGTGAAACAGTGGTTCAAGATGAGGACAGCGATTGGGAGAACAGAGCCGTAAACAGATGTGGTGACAACTTCATGCATGCAGGCTAACAATGGTGATAGTGTGATGTTCCGTTGTTGTAGGTACTCAGATACAATAGACAGTGGAAAAACGAAACGTAGACGTTTTATGATACCCCATTGATGATGTGTAATCACCAGCACTGAACCCCACCATACCTACTGCCAAAGCCCTCCCTCTACTTTGTCTATGCAGATGGTGTATGTGGAGATGAGTCAAACGTGGGATTATACGCTGAGCACGCAGATGAGCAGCTTGAAGCGTTTGAATAGGAAGAACAGGGCCATCGACATCTAGTGAAACAGTGGTTCAAGATGAGGACAGCGATGGGGAGAACAGGGCCATCGACATCTAGTGAAACAGTGGTTCAAGATGAGGACAGCGATGGGGAGAACAGGGCCATCGACATCTAGTGAAACAGTGGTTCAAGATGAGGACAGCGATGGGGAGAACAGGGCCATCGACATCTAGTGAAACAGTGGTTCAAGATGAGGACAGCGATGGGGAGAACAGGGACATCGACATCTAGTGAAACAGTGGTTCAAGATGAGGACAGCGATGGGGAGAACAGGGACATCGACATCTAGTGAAACAGTGGTTCAAGATGAGGACAGCGATGGGGAGAACAGGGACATCGACATCTAGTGAAACAGTCGTTTTAAGATGAGGACAGCGATGGGGAGAACAGGGACATCGACATCTAGTGAAACAGTGGTTCAAGATGAGGACAGCGATGGGGAGAACAGGGACATCGACATCTAGTGAAACAGTGGTTCAAGATGAGGACAGCGATGGGGAGAACAGAGCCGTAAACAGATGTGGTGACAACTTCATGCATGCAGGCTAACAATGGTGATAGTGTGATGTTCCGTTGTTGTAGGTACTCAGATACAATAGACAGTGGAAAAACGAAACGTAGACGTTTTATGATACCCCATTGATGATGTGTAATCACCAGCACTGAACCCCACCATACCTACTGCCAAAGCTCTCCCTCTACTTTGTCTATGCAGATGGTGTATGTGGAGATGAGTCAAACGTGGGATTATACGCTGAGCACGCAGATGAGCAGCTTGAAGCGTTTGAATAATACTCTAACACCGGTATGTCTCTGGAGGTTGTTGGCTGTTTTCATATTTGTCCTGGGCTCTGTCATAGAGAAAAAAGACGTTTACCACTTTTGTGAAATTCATTAGTAGGTTTATGGCGGTGCCGAATCAGAAACATGCGCAGCTCTGAACAGCAAATTGCGGAGCCTAAGACGACGGGTCTGTCCCTGGCCCCGATGTCAGACAAGTACACTCTACAGATCCTAACAACCGATGTTGAGATGTGTTACCAACATAAATCCCATGCGTCACTACCCTTTTTAATTTAATCTCACACTGTACCCTAGGCTGCTGTAACTAACTTGCCACCTCCTCCCCCACCCCCCACTTCCACCACCACAATCGATTTCCTTGCGTCCCCCTTTCTACTACCTGCCAACATCTTATCACCTGAAGGTGACCCTCATCCCGGCCTTTACCTTGCTGAAGTGATGTGTCGTGGGGAAACATGGCGACAGGCAGGGCGGACGTGTTGAGGCTGTTGTCTGTGGTGATCCTTGTAATCAGTGTTGCCGATGGGGCAGATACATTGGGTAAGTCAAACCAAACTGACGAGCCCCTTTCTGATAGATCATATTGTGAAGCTCGATGATAACTCGATTCAAACGTTTTGAAACAGCAGGATACCTTCAGTATCAAGGTTGCCAGACGTGTATCTTTGCTATGAAACAGACTGTTGTATTACAAATCGTATCCATTATACCTGTTTGCCTTTATGTATATGTATATTTAGAAGTATGCCAATAGATTATAATACCACTAAGTTAGCTGCACGATGCAACGTGACGTGGCAGGGCAGAATTATGTCCTGGCATCCTACTGGACAACACATACAGTTGACGTCAAATATACTGCCGTCAAACCTTGTTGTACTATTAACGTGAACAGAGCTTTGGGTGGGCTTCTGTTCTTACTTAGTCACACGTAGGACACAAGTCTGCTATTGGTCCACAGCAATGTCTCCGCAGTTAATATGACGTTTACTTCAAAGCGTCAACGTCTGAGAATGATCAGTCTCGATTATCTCCCAGATTCTATGGGGCGTAAAAGGCAAATTAATTATATAAATTGTATAATTGGGTCACTGAAAAACAGTGATGAAACCAGGTGTTCACGAAAAGGGTAACTACGTCCTGCTTTATCGGTAAAATCCGCCAGTCACTGCAACGGCCGTGCAACAACAGAAGTGGGTGTATGAAATATAAACCGCATGTAGTAATATTCCACCTATATCACGCGGAGGTGTTACATACACTCGTTAGACATTTCCTCTGCACTATTGGAATAGCTTCACATTCCAATATCATTACCAGGGTATGAAACTCCCAAAATTTTCAGCCAGACCACAGGACCGGCTAGCTGAAATACTTGCCAGCCCTGACCAAAACCTGCCTGCCCACTATAATCATATGTTTCTCAGGATAATTTAATTAAAACTTTAAATCAAATTCATTGAACATGAAGTAATGCAAGAAAAGAAATAGCAAACACTTTTTAGGTCAGATTTGTATTTAATATGCTAGAATACATCATGTAAATAATGCTTATCATCGGGAAATATTTAGAATATTTTTACATATGAAATGTAACCCGACCGTCGGGCAGGGGGATTTGAAAATCTGGCAGCCCGAGTTGAAATAAACCCGTCTCGGACGGTCGGGCAGGCAGGTATTTCGAACACTGTCATTACCGACTGTCTCTCTAGTCAGTATGTGCTTTTCTGCGCAGGAGCGTCTCTGAGCCACCAAGGGCAGGTTTTATGCAAAGTTCCCATTTGAGGAATTGAACATAAGTGTTAAGTGTGACGTGTGCCACACCAAACATAGTTTATACAAGTGACCTGGCAATATCTCATCTGGCTAGTTGTTCCACAAGTTATGTGTTTGTACATTGTAGAGTTAGAGATACATACCAACAGCACATGGATGCGTATGCATCTTGCATCATAAAACCTACTCAGTTATGTGATAACCTCAACTAAATAGCCCATTCACGGGTCTGCTGATAATGTCTAAAAACAGGTCAGATATCAGGCAGGTTCATCGTGACTGAAGCATTCCCTTCGCATGCACCTTACAGTGACGGGGTGATCCCTGCACATGCTCTTTGTACTTCGTGAACATCCAGGTTAAAATAGGTCTTCAGCAACCCACGCGTCCTGTAAAAGGCGACTATGCTTGTCGTAAGAGGCGATTTACGGGATCGGGCTGTCAGGCTCGCTGACTTGGTTGATGCATGTCATCGTATCCCTATTGCGTGGATCGATGCTCATGATGCCACTCACTGCATTGTCTGGTCCAGATTGGTTACATACCACCGTAATAAAAATGGAATATTGAGTGCGGAGTTAAACAACAAATATACAAACAGAAAATGCTACTTGTAGAGTGATCCCTGAACAAATACACACCTTCACATTGCAGTGACAGATCATACCCCACACACATACACCTTGCAGTGATAAAGATGATCCCTTTATACATAAACCTTGCAATGACAGAGAATATGTGAGACGTGCGCGATCCCTACAGCTTGCAATGTCTTGAACACCACAGACATACACACTTGCGTTGGCAGAGGTGGTCCCTACACACATATAAAGGTTGTGTCGCTGTTATTGAAGTGACAGAGATTGTCCCAACACATATGCGCCTTGTAGTGACAGAGATGATCCTTTTTCACGTGCACTTTAAAGTGACAGAGATGATACCTACACATGTGCGCTTTACAGTGACTGAGGATCCCTACACACGTGCGCCGTACAGTGACAGTGATGATCCCTACACTCACACATGCACCTTACAGAGGCAGTGAGTGAGTGAGTGAGTATAGTTTTACGCCGCTTTTAGCAATATTCCAGTAATATCACGGCGGGGGACACCAGAAATGGGCTTCACACATTGTACCCATGTCGGGAATCGAACCCGGGTCTTCGGCGTGACGAGCGAACGCTTTAACCACTAGGCTACCCGACCGCCCCCCTTACAGAGGCAGAGCGGATCCATACACACGTGCAAATTACTTAGAGTGACAGAGATGAGGTGTTTGAAAGGCATTTAGAAGTGATACACATGAGGAAGAGAATTTATTTCAGGAACACAACGTTTCGGAGTATATGCTTACTCCTTCATCAGGTGAATGAATGTCATGAGGCAGAGAGCATATACATGTACATGTAAGGACAACACAATTAATATAATAAAAAAGGTGGAAAATATCCAAAGGTAGAAACTTACAACACCCAACAGATGATTGGCGCTGATAGGTGATTAGCGATAGACAATGGAAGCCAACACTTTACAGTAATTGGTGCTGTAACAGAGATGATCTCTCCACACATGCGCATTACAGTGACAAAGAGGATCCCTACTCATGTGCGCCTTACAGTGACAAAGGTGTTCCCTACACACATATACCTTGCTGTGAAAGAGATGATCACTACACTCGTGACAGAGATGATCCCTACACAAGTGCACCTTGCACACATGCACCTTGCAGAGACAGAGGTGATCCCTACACACGTGCACCTTGCAGAGACAGAGGTGATCCCTACACACGTGCACCTTGCAGAGACAGTGGTGATCCCTACTCACGTGCACCTTGCAGAGACAGAGGTGTACCCTTCACACGTGCACCTTGCAGAGGTGTTAACTACACACGTTCATCTTGCAAGGACAGAGGTGTTCACTACACACATGCACCTTTCAGAGACAGAGGTGTTCACTACACACGTGCACCTTTCAGAGACAGAGTTGTACCCTACACACGTGCAACTTGCATTGACTGAGGTGTTCACTACACACGTGTACCTTTAAGAGACAGAGGTGTTCACTACACACGTGTACCTTTCAGAGACAGAGGTGTTCCCTACACACGTGTACCTGTCAGTAGCGGATATGATCCCCACACAGATGCATTTTAAAGTGACAGGGGTCATTGTTGGATTACCTCCCTTTGTTGGAATGGTAACCCGGTGACTTGTTTTGCATATATATGTATATGATCTAACCAAAGGATAACCAAACAGTGTGAACATGCCAATCGTGCATTATATAATTAGGAAAGATCGTAAGTGAAAATGGGCATCACTATCGAACTATGGAGAGCGCGTATAGGAAAATTCAGACAGCCTTGGGCAATGGAAGACGCCATGTTGGATCGTACACATCATTCACGATTTGCTCGGACACCACAGGACTGAAGTACAGATTGGTGAGCACTGTACTTATTGTTGTGAGTATTGCTGTGCTTAGCACGACTTTCTGCCAAATCTGTTGCAATTTTAAACCACCATGTGAGGACATATCTGCAAACAGCGTTTTGCACGGCTTTCCCCGGGAAGATATCAACTTTGACAACTTTGAAAAGGTAAACTGAGACAACGGGTCTTAATGACTCTTTAAAGACAATCAGGTCAGATATAGAAGACCTGAAATCAGATTTTAAGCGGTTTTACATAGATGATGTTGCATCAAGGCTAAGCAAACTAGAAGAAAGACCAGGTGACGAAACGGTTTCCTGTGACAGACTAGAAGAGACTGAGCATGGAATTGTAAAACGGGAACAATATAGCATGAAACATAATGTGGTTATCTGCGGTCTGTCTTAGAATGTGAATGAAAGTATAGCAGAATGTAAACGAATTGTTAGTGATATTTTGAACATACATGCTAAAGCAGACGACGTACCTTTGACTATGTACTCCTTAGCCACAGCACAGAGAACATGTCATTAGGAAAATCGTTCACCTCGACCCATTTATTTATAGTGAGGACAAAGTTTGGGCTTTTCCTGAACATTTGACAATTGATTTGACACTCCTGAACATGATTTAAATGACAATGCCTTTACCAACGGAAGTGATGCATAGTGATGCAAGTGATGACTCATAATGCAGACACAGGTGAAGATATGTTAGAGTCTAAGGAGGAAATATTTATATTAATATTTGGGGAAATAAAATGTGATAAATGTAATAAATCCTGCGGCATTGATTATGTAATCCCAGCTTTTTTTATAAGCTGCACAAAACATTTTTGTAACATATATGGAACTTGTATCTAATATACTGTTCAGAACTGGCTACTTTCCAGCTTCATGGTGTACTTGCATAAATATTCCATTGCATAAAAGGTGATACTCACTCGACGAATAGTTAGAGAGGAATTACATTTAGTGTGTTTAGTAAGGTGTACACAGCAGTGCTAAACAATAGATTAGCTTATTGGTCCAACACTTGTGATAATATTGTGGAATCACAAGCAGCGTTTCGCAAAGGCTATAGCCCTATTGATACTATTTTTATTTTACAAGTAGTCGTCCAAAGTTACATGTCTAAAAAAAAGAGGAAAGATGTATGCAGTTTTTGTTGACTTTAAGAAAGCATCTAACCTAGTTTATAGACCTAAATTATCGAACATGTTAATAACTTATGGAATATCTTTAAAATTTATCCAAGCTTTACAATCTATATACAACTGTGTAAAAGCCTGACTCATAAAACAACTTCCCATGCTTTTGGGTATTCTATGGGACTAAGACAAGGCTGTGTTTTAAGCCCGCTCTTGTTCAATTTTTTTATATAAATGAATTTGCAATTGAAGCAGAGGCCACCTGCGGACCAGGTATCCAGTTCCACACAGAACAGTTGTTTGCAGACGATGTTAACTTGATTTCTGATATACTGTATGGGCTACATAGACGCATCGATGATTTAAAATCTTTTTGTAATTATTACCATTTGTGTGTTAATTTGGATACGACCAAGGGCAGTGTTTTTAAGAATGAGGAATTTTATCTAAGCATAAGAAATAGAAGTGTGATGGACAACCCCTTGTTTGTGGCAAAACATGTAAAAGATGCTTCATTGCAAACTGAGAAGATTCTATGCGGTGTCTTTAAATGTTGGAGCGGTCAGGTAGCCTTGTGGTCAAAGCGTTTGCTCGCCACGCTGAAAACCCGGGTTCGATTCCCGACATGGGTACAATGTGTGAAGCCCATTTCTGGTGTCCCCCGCCGTGATATTGCTGGAATATTGCTAAAAGCGGCGTAAAATCGAACTCAACTCTTTAAATGTTTGTCAATAACCATTAACATTTCATTTATTTTTCAAAAGATTAGACACAAAGATAAGTCAAATTTTACTTTATGGGCAGAAATATTTGGTGTTAATCGTGACTAATGTGAAGAAATTGAAACTGTACATGTGTTTGCCTGTCAACGCTTCCTGTGAGTAAAATCTACATCTGCCAGTCATGTTGAATGTTGAATGTTGGAGAAACCCACTATATATTTATGCCTGTATACGCCTTGTAAAATATTGGCGTAAACTTGTATATATGCCTGACTCAAGGTGTGTTAGAAAATCCTATATTGTGTTACTTAATGCTGCGCTCAATGGTAAAACAAACTGGACCTCTAAGGTTAGACAGATAGTATTATGTTCAGGATTTGGCTATTTAAGGGAACAACAGGCAGTTTCAAACGTATCAAGTTTTTTGTCAGAATTCTTTCAAAGATTAAAACCATCATGCAATCAGGATGGCACAGATTAGTTGCAGTTACCATCGCCTAAGAATTGAAGCAGGAAGATTTACTAAAGAAAAGAAAAAAGAAGATAGAAGACAAATATAATATTGTTTTGATGTGTAAAACATATGATGATCTTCGAGCCCAATTAATAGCACCAACATATTATACCTATGCTACTAGACACGGGTTTAATGTATTAATGTCGTCCACTAACGAATACACCATCAAAAGCCTATCGATGTACATAAATAAAGCAATATACGTGTAAACAAACTGGCACCCTGAGTCTCCGACTACCTGTATTATCATGGGTCTGTGGCCTACAATACTGAATGAATTTAATTGAATGTCATTGATCTTATTAATAACTATGTGAGGCATTTCAGACAAGTTCAAGTGTCCGGAGGGCTGGATGCTGCAAATTCAGTCTTGCTACAAGTGGGGCACCAGCCAGATGACGTTCTCTGATGCCCAGGATCAATGTCGTCAGTCGGAGGCCACAGTCAGAGTCATCAAGAACAAGGAAGAGAACCAACTCTTCACAGGTATAAATTAACCTACTAAGGACAGAACTCAGCGATCAGTGTCAACAAGCGTGGTTATAAATACTAACTGCTTTATAAGCTCGGAATTTGTTAATCCTCAACAATATGTAATAATATTGCCGACCAATACTGATTGACAAGGTTCTGACGGGGATGTACTTAGGCAGACATTATGTCTCGGTCTCTGACAGGATAATATAACCATTAGAGTAGGAGTTTTGTTGAAACGTAGAGTATACACATTTAATAAGTTTTAACATGTGGTGAAACTGCTATTTTGGGGCAAGGCTGTCTTTCATTGCACGTTAAACACAGCAAGAGTAACGAGTCGTTATTGAAAATGTTACTTTCTATAGTTCTTGGTCTAGTTCTATAAAACCGTCAACGCCTGAGAAAAATCAGTCTCGATTAACTCCGAAGCAGATACTGTTTGGCGTAGGAGGCAAAATAGCATTGAAAAGTATATCAATAGGTCACTGATAATCAGTGATGACACCAGGCCAGGTTCTTGTCTGCTCCTTCTTCCAAGACGTTGTCATATATTACAGTGTCCAACAGTGGAGACACTTACTGGCTCGGGATACAATGGATCAACCAGAAATGGGGGTATCAGACAAACGGAACAACCACAGTAAGTGTATGTAATACGTCAATATAGCCACACCAATATTCCAGGAGATGGTATGCATATTATTTTACAATGTATCTATATATTTACAGGACCTTACGTACACAGCATTCTCCAGTTCTAGCTACAACTTCAACAGGCCCAATTGTGCAGTATGGCAGTCTACAACGAAGGTATGGTCGGCAGAGTCTTGCACTAACAAGCATCTGTTCATCTGTCAGAAACCTCAAGGTGAGTTGGCGGACTTAGTTTGTCATTTGATACCACGGACAATATTGTATTAAAATACTTAACGATAGCGAATTCGAACTGTAAAAACTGACAGGACGCAGAAAGAATCAAATTGCGAATAATCTCGAACGGCGCGGTGTCGTTACACGCAACAATAAAGGAAATTCAACCAAATATGTATCTACAGACATGGAGTACGACAAAGCATGTTCGCTAAAACAGCCAAATAACCTTATGTTATCAAATGAATGTCATTCAGATGTCCACTTTCGTATTCATAACCAAATTGTATTCTAGACTGTGTCCCTGGTCGTTTTGGAGAGAACTGTACCAACCAGTGTCACTGCAGAGCGGATGTCTGCAAATCCACTTCCGGTATCTGCAAATATGGCTGCCAGATAGGCTGGACTGGGAAATCTTGTGATACTGGTGTGTTCAGCTGAATATCGTTTTGATTTCTCCGGGAAGATAAAGAGGCTACAGTTAATAGTGGATACATGAGGACCTTCAGTTGCGTCACTTTTACTAGTTAAAATGCATGTTCAGAAGAGCCAGTAATTTAATTTCATCAACTTCAAGAACAAAGGCGTGACGCTATCATAAAGGTTTAAATGTTGGGTATGTTTCATTCTTGCTCGTCAGTGTTCTTTATGATGATGTGAGACAATTCGTGACTATGTTATACAACGTGATAATTCAAAGTATGGAATACAAGCGTTTCCGAAAAACGATGTTGAACAGTATGAACTGTATCATTTCAGAAAAAAAGAAAGCCGAGGGTAAGTAAATTATTTTAGCTTGATAAGCCCAATGTGGAGACATAATGAATATTTGAAACATTATGAAAACAAATTGTATAATAAGCGTTATCATGATGTTAACTTTGTGGTATTTGCCAGTAAACGACTGAGGCTTTTTTTGTAGACGCGGCTCGATTACATCATGTATTTCAATGATATGCAATAATGTATCTTTCAGCCAAGTTCTACTGCTTCAAGATCCAAGCACGTAATGTGATGATGTTTCGTGTAGATCAAAGGGGGACGGTCTACCGGGATGTGTCTGCCATAGATGAGCATGGGGACACTGTTGACACTTGTAGCCGAACCGTGTATGACCACTTCGAGCCTGGAGGGACGGGGACGCTGAAGGTGACGCAAACTGCCAACAACAGTTTCACGCCTTATTGTAGAGGAAACGAGGTACATTAATCGGCTTGATCGACCAACGTGGGAAACATTTTGTTATGAAATTATTAAATGCGTGTAAGTTCCCAGTGAGACAAACATTGGCATTACTCTTTGTCTGTTACAGTATTAGTGAGTGAGTGAGTGAGTGAGTATGGTTTTACGCTGATTTTAGCAATATTCTAGCAATATCACGGCAGGGGACACCAGAAATAGGCTTCACACATTGTACCCATGTCGGGAATCGAACCCGGGTGTTCGGCGTGACGAGCGAACGCTTTAACCACTAGGCTACCCGACCGTCCCTGTTACACTATGGCAGTGCTATAATGCCAAGAAGAATTCTTGGTAAAACTGCCAAACATGCCAGCCATTAATATAGATATTCTTGTTATGGTTTGATTTTTAGCACGTGTAATTATGTTCAGATCCTAAACATGTTTCGATTACACTATTTTATTGGGCAAGGCGCATGTTTGGAATTGTGTTTTAGAATCTAAACTCATTTTGTACAGTGTATGGCGCCACATATGGTGTCATCGCTGATTTTCATATGTCCATTCATTGAATTTTTACTGCCATTTTGTCTTTTACATCAATTGGAATGTTTCAGCCTATAATCGAGACTGGCGTTGACGTTTTATTTGCTGCTTATATGTTGGTGTTAATTGATCTGATATGAGGGCTGAGTATAAAGCCCAGTATTGATTTCCAAAAAGTAACTCATTGTAGGATCATTAAAGGTTTCTTCGTAACAGTTGACTATTGTTGCGCATTTAGAAGCTTTACTTTCATTTGATCCATTTGTGTCATTAACAAATGGGAATTTCTCTTGATTCCTTTAGCAATGGTTTAAGATAAAATTATGTTCAAAGGAATCGAGGGGATTTTATGTAAATGATGACAAAGGAACATCAACAACCTTGAGTATAGGCACCCAAAACACTCAAATACACACTTAACGTTTACGTTGTAGGTGTCGAATGAGGTTCACTCCTGGAAGTTCAGATTCAGGGAGTACCCAAACACCTCCTCCGCCTACGACATCATGTTTGAGGTGAAGTGCGACTTTACTAACGCCAACTCCTTGGAGATTTCTACGACATCCAACACTGACAAGTACGTGCATGTGTACTAACATCATCAGTAACATACTAAAGTGTTCATGGAAATGAAAAAATACTGTTTTGCTGGATTAAATAATCGACACAAAGCATTACGTAGATGTCAATACGAAATAACAAAACAACTGGAAAAGTATTAGTCTGGATTAACTAGTTTTAGCTCAGTGCTCAATACAAAATGTACTTTACAGGAGGTAATTTGTAGGGATTTTTAACATTAAAAAATAAAACTAAGTCCAAATTGACATGGCAGAAACAGGCTATAGGCATTATGCAAATTACCCTTGAAAAAAGTATTCAAAACAGCAATAAAAATAACAGCTATGTTTATGTACATAATAATAATGACATGTAAGTTGTTGTTTGAGAAGGGAATATGTTACTTTTACGTTCTGATATTTTGACGACGATTCACTATCCCACAATGCCACTCACAAATCACTAACCACTGACAAATCCCATGCACGTGGGTTTCAAGCACCTGTTTTCACCTGTCGTCAAGGTGTCATAGGTCATGGACATTCACCTTGATCTACTAACACCTGGTTATGCTCAGTTTCACAATAGTCCGTTTTGTTCATATTTTTACACACTTTTACGCGTAAAAATACATAGAAACCTTTGATACGCTGTATTTGTGCCAAGGCCCAATTAGTACTAATTGAGTTGTTTGAATATTTATATATTTTGTATATTAACTGTATTTATTTAAAATATGAGATCGAAAAAACAGGTGTTTTTTTCATTTCCGTGAGTACTTTAGCATAAAGGCTGAGAAATAATTATACAACATTCGAAAAACAAATTGTGAAAGGGGTACTAGTATGAAAGAAAGTGGCAGGCCTAGGAAATCTGATTCAAGACGTTCAAACATCAGTGTGTCATTTCTTAAAGCTTAAACTCTATGCTGTATATCAATCTGACAGTGTGCGTGAATAGTCTAATTTTATCGAAATAATGACACAGTTTCTTTAAGGAACAATATAATACTAGACTTAGACTACGCTGAAAATGTTCATCAGACCGTGGAGCATTAGCTGTAGGCACCCCTGCCTGTATATTATATTTGTTTTAATTTTCATATTTTGTTCAATCTAAATTTTACACGTTCGAACACTTCACATCTCTCTCTCTCTCTCTCTCTCTCTCTCTCTCTCTCTCTCTCTCTCTCTCTCTCTCTCTCTCTCTCTCTCTCTCTCTCTCTCTCTCTCTCTCTCTCTGTGGAACTATGATGTGCCGAACCTACGGTTGTCTTGAAGTAAAAAGTATGGTCTCTGCGTATTCATACTTTATCCCTCATTTTCGGCTGTGTCCAATCCCGGACTACGAAGTAGTTACGTAGGTTCCTGAAATGTCGACACAACCGTGGTTCACTTACATGTATAGCATCACCACAGCGAAAACATGATTTTACATTTACAGACAGATATCGTTATAACAATGGCAAACATTTTGCCTCCTAAACCCTTATTCTTCAATTTAGCTCTACTTCCAGAATCGAATCCCTTTTAAAACTCAACAAAGTCTACAAACTTGTGTTTGCTGTAGGATAGATATCTCTCAATGTCTGAATACAAAGTGAATATGTGGTCAGACTTCAAGTAGTCCTTTTTAAATCCTGCTTGTGTTTCAGGGGTCACATCTCTCATGTTTTACCCCTGTGTTAATCTATTAATGATAAAAGTAAATGTTGTACCACGAATACTCGTGAGAGATTTAAACCCCGGAAATAGTCAAGATTGTTTACATTTTCATTCTTGAATACTGGAATAAAGTAATATTTCGACAGAAGGAAAACTGACAAATTGGTATGCTGTAATATACGACACCCATCTCCAACATACATTGACAAGTTTGTATCAATGAGAGAATCAATGCGAAATTGTAAAAGTAAATTATATTGCGCGCATATATTTTCTTTTACAAGACCTGCCAACAAGTCAACATCACTCACCGAGAGCACGTTGTCCGTGAGTCTGGACATCATCGACCCTGTCAATAACCTCTCTGTAACCACAGCAAAACTGGGCCAGCAAGTTCGTCTCCAGATGAAGCTGAACAACGACGAGGGTATGCTCAGAACAGACATTGACTGTTAGAAGTATCAGAGAATGCTGCAATTCCATATCCGTGTTACTTGCTCGAGGCCGTTTTATCCTCTCTCGTTTTGGCCGGAAACGGGCAAACATATTGGAACAAATACAAACACGTTTCTCTTCACCGATAGATCATATCACAAGCGGAAAGACCGTATTTACTAAAACTGTCAGTTTCAGCTCCAACCGTGTTGGTTTCAGAGTTCGGCGTGAGCGCTATCTCTCCATTCAACTGCTCTGTCGGGACACTGGACCAAAGACACGAGGTCTTCTTCACTGACGAACACGGGTACGTAGACACGTGGTACATCAGAATCTGTGCTGTCTGATTGTCTACTGCGCTTTCGTATCACAATGAGGGAAAGTAAAGTGAAGCGTATGTATATATGTAATAATAATGAGAAAAATCATCATCATGATAATAATAATATCCAGGCCAACAAACCGGATCTTGTCCTTTTTGATAAAACCAATGAAATCATTTATATTATTGAATTTTCTGTCCCTTTTGACACTTATGTGATTGGCAAGATTGAGGAATAACAAATATGCAGACCTCGCTTTCGAAATGTCATGCTTTAATCCCAAGTACCAAGTTGTCCGACTCCCCATTGTACTTGGTGCCTTAGGTTTGGTACCTCCCAATCTGTTGACTGAAATTGGGAGAGTACCCGGGTTTGCTACCAGGAATACAGCCCTTTTGACAATCTGGGTAATGCAGAAGGCTGCAGTGTTGGGGAGTCTTCACATTCTCCGAAAAGTTCTGGGTGGGTTTGACTAGGCAGCGCTTCCTGGGAGAAGTCCCATTCGCTGTCTGGGCTGGGTGTAGAGGGGGCAAGGACCCTGAGCTGATGATGAGCCGAACCAGCCTGACTGTGCCAGGATCACCCAAACCCTCTTTGCTGCATTTTTTATTTTAATTTGTAAATAATAATAATAATAATAATAATAATAATAATGCGTATTAATAACGCGCCTCATCCATGCCCTGAAGTATGATCAAAGCGCGAAATGGAAATATATATGAAGCATGTATAGTAAGTGCAGTTCTCTGTTATATATGTCTGTATCTTTTCTCTATAACGTATGATCTACATGCATGTTGTGTAGACAGAATTCTATATTCTGTGATATGTTGCTCTATCCTCTTTTGTCTGTAGGTTGTGTTTGGTATCTATCCTCTATGTTCTGGGGGCAGTCGGGTAGCCTAGTGGTTAAAGCGTTCTCTCGTCACGCCGAAGACCTGGGTTCGATTCCCGACAAGGGTACAATGTTTGAAGTCCATTTCTGGTGTCCCCCGCCGTGATATTGCTGGAATATCGCTAAAAGCGGCGTAAAATCAAACTCACTCACTCACTCCATTGTTCTGTATTCTGTTTTTTGTTCCATGTCCTCTATGTTCTGTCATCTGTGTTTTGCTATCTATACTCTATAATGTGTATTCTATCTTTTGTTACCTATACTGTCTGCTCCCTGTTCTGTGACTTATTGTCTATACTCTCTGCTCGGTGGTCTGGATTTTGTATGTTGTGTATTCTGTGGTTTGTTATCTATACTCATTGCTCTTTATTCTTTATTTTGTTATCTATAACACATGCTTATTTCTGAAGTCAGTGTCATGTGTGGAGCTGTAAAGTTTATGCTCTATATTTTGTATGCTCCACAAGCTGTGCTGTATGCCTTTTTATCGACACTCTATGCTCTGTAATTTATTTATCCTGTGTACACAATGTTATGTTTTTTGTACACTTTATCTAGTAATTTGTGTGTTGTTTCAAATGACAACTTATTTAAACTTCTGACACCGAATCCAGATGTTCTCCCAGAGATGCCCAAATTCTCTTCCTGAATAACGACGTCACGAGATGGCGCAGCGAGATGTTCGAAACATTCTCTTTTCCCGGTTATGATAAACTGTTCTTCCGGTGCCAGTACCACGTGTGCTTCACAGAGCAACAGCATTACTGCAGGGATGTAAGTACAGGGGACATTTAAACTGAAAAAAACCCGTTACATAAGTTTTGGAAAGGGTGATAATTTGACACATACTTTAACTGCATACTTATTGCACATATTTAGTTGTTATTTCTCCATGAAAGCCGTAGATTATATTTAAAGGCAGCCTCTAAGGTTCGATCGGTTTTACACTGATGTTCATAGAATTATAATCAAGTGGTAACTGTATTCGCACAAAACAATATCTGATGACATATCATGTATTTTGCGGGGGCAGAGAAGCGTCCCTTGGGCACGCCAGAAACCTATGATTGTGGGTTCGAATCCCAGTTCGCCCCGATTATGTTTCAAGGTTTGTCAGCACCATACCCGTGCTCGTGGGTTTCACCGAAGTGGTTAACGTCTGAGACTTGCATCACTTCAGGCTTTCCTCCCACATTTACTTGACACGCCGTGATGTAACTGGAATACTGTTAAAAGCGGCGTTAAACCCAACTTACTCACTCACTCACTCATGTATTTTGCCTGCAACAGATGTGTAGTCTCTCCAAGACGGGTAACTCCAGACAGCCCCACAAGAGGAGTTTAATCTTCAACCACCTGGATGAAGAGATACCGGCAAAGCTGACAACCTTGAAACTTGTGTAATTGCTGTGATTAATATTTCGTGTTGCTATGAAAACTGCGATAAATCATTTACCGTATCAAAGCATCTTGTGTTATCTCAAGTCTAGCATGAATTTGTAAAATCTGATTGGTCGAACAGAGGTTTCAAATCACACTTACCGCCTCTGATTGAATCAGCTGGACGGATACTTGTATTTAAAGGAAAACTTCTTTCTTGGTCGTTTTCGGCAGGAATTTTGAAACCATGATATGTATAATAATAGGTAACAACATGCAGAGCTCCCGTAGCTACAATTTCCACAGTACTATTGGTCACCGGAAACATGATACCAAAATAAAATTGTTCGTTACTACCGTATGGGTTTTATTCTAATCACACACTGTACCCTGTCTGTGTGTTGCTGACACTAACCGCACACCACACCCCTACCGACCTCCTAGATAGGCATGGGCGCGCCTCAGGGTGTCCAATGAAACCTGTTTCGTCGGATGTTCGAAACTGGTTACTCTCTGGTGTTGACGTTTATATTTACTATTACTGAGCTATACATTCGTTCTTAAGTAATCGCTGTTTTAAAACACCTTTATTCCTTCCTGATATAGTGACACATTGTGTATAGAAATAAGTTATGACCGTTGGGGACATCATAATTAATGCAAGATAATTATGTAAGATGTTTTAGGATGTTCGCCTTCCAGCAACTCAGAATTCCAAACTATATTTAACGTGATGTCAACCCTTATGAGGCCCCAATTTCCTAGCTTAAATATATAAGTAGAGACCTTTTGTGAGATTCAAGGGAGGGAGTTTCTACTATAAGGATGAAGAAATAATCTTTAAGATATAGGGCGTAAATCCTTGGTGAATATACGGTTGTGTTACTGCCAACGGAAGAAGTCAGTCATGGTATAGATATGGTATTGTAGTACTGTCACGTTTACACATTATCGAAATATCAGATATTCTTATCGGTGCGATACACCAATCCAATAAACTTGGTAACACGGTCCGAAATTACTTTTAATGAATATCATACATCAAAGGGATGCATAGTTGCTCGAATAACTATTACCCTATGTCCTCAAGACGCTAAGATATAACTTTCCGATGTAAACATGTGTCACTATATAATACATATATCACTATATAATACATGTGTCACTATATAATACATGTGTCACTATATAATATGTGTCAAGATATAATGCATGTGTCACTATATAATATGTGTCAAGATATAATGCATGTGTCACTATATAATATGTGTCAAGATATAATGCATGTGTCACTATATAATTCATGTATCACTATATAAAACATGTGTCACTTTATGATACATGTGTCACTATATAATACATGTGTCACTGTATAATACATAAGTTACTGTATAATACATATGTCAATGTATAATACATAAGTCACTATACAATACATGTCATTGTATAATACATGGGTCACTATACAATACATAAGTCATTGTATAATACATGGGTCACTATACAATACATATGTCACTGTATAATACATAAGTCACTATATAATACATAAGTCACTGTATAATACATGGGTCACTATACAATACATAAGTCACTGTATAATACATGGGTCACACACTATACAATACATAAGTCACTGTATAATACATCAGTCACTATACAATACATAAGTCACTGTATTATACATGTGTCACTATACAATACATATGTCACTGTATAATACATAAGTCACTTTACAATACATAAGTCACCGTATTATACATGTGTCACTATACAATACATATGTCACTGTATAATACATGAGTCACTTTACAAAACATAAGTCACTGTATAATGCATGTGTCACTATACAATACATATGTCACTGTATAATACATGAGTCACTTTACAAAACATAAGTCACTGTATAATGCATGTGTCACTATACAATACATATGTCACTGTATAATACATAAGTCACTATACAATACATAAGTCACTGTATAATACATGGGTCACTATACAATACATATGTCACTGTATAATACATAAGTCACTATATAATACATAAGTCACTGTATAATACATGGGTCACTATACAATACATAAGTCACTGTATAATACATGGGTCACACACTATACAATACATAAGTCACTGTATAATACATAAGTCACTATACAATACATAAGTCACTGTATTATACATGTGTCACTATACAATACATATGTCACTGTATAATACATAAGTCACTATACAATACATAAGTCACCGTATTATACATGTGTCACTATACAATACATATGTCACTGTATAATACATAAGTCACTTTACAATACATAAGTCACTGTATAATGCATGTGTCACTATATAATACATGGACGGTTCACTCAGGGATTGTACGCGGTTTCTACCTTTACTTTAATAAATGAAAATAAATACTCATCGAAATAAATACAATTTTTATTGCAAGTATAGGATACTAACGATACGACATATTCACCGACACAGGTGGTGGCCCAGTCGTCTTGGGCGCTGCGAATCGCTGTGCACGCCAGAAACCTATGATTGGTTCGAATCCCGGTTCGCCCCGATTATGTTTCTAGGTTTGTCAGCACCATACCCGTGCTCGTGGGTTTCACCGAAGTGGTAAACGTCTGACACCTGCATCACTTTGGGCTTTCCTCCCACATTAAGCTGACACGCCGTGATATAACTGGAATACTGGAATACTGTTAAAAGCGGCATTAAACCCAACTCACTCACTCAATTTTATCAGGGTGAGTTGTGGATTCGATCCCAGGATTATAGGATCACTGTAAAGGCCTATAGTACGCAACTCTGCACATAGAGTTTACACTCCACTGGACAGATACTGTACAATATAGACTTTCAAACAAAACCACAACCAACACTGAGACCTCCTTTCTTGGGGGACGTTCTTGATATATTCTGGGGTGGGGGCCTAGGAATTTGTATGGAGGCTAGATAGTTTTCAGCTAGAGCTGCAAAACCAGATTTTCCTTTTTAATTAAACCTATCAGCCTAATTATTTATTGGAAACAATTTAACCATTTTTTTTCTTTTGCAACAGTCCCCCACCCTCCACAGATTATTAAATGGACGGTTCCTAACCGTGTGGTGTATAACTACACTGACATATATTCCCATAACCTGATACCTTTTCTGTTATGAGATTGATACATCTCCGACATAGCGTTTGTTGCCATCATAGCCTGTATAGAAATCCATCTCCAATATCTTGTATGTTGTCTTCATAAACTGTGAAGAAATCCATCTCCAATATCTTGTATGTTGTCTTCATAAACTGTGAAGAAATCCATCTCCAATATCTTGTATGTTGTCTTCATAAACTGTGAAGAAATCCATTTCAAATATCTTGTCTGTTGTTTTCGTGAACTGTAGAAGTCCACCTCCAATAGAGAGTCTATTGTCTTCATAAACGATGTAGAAATCCATCTTCAAAATGTTGTCTGTTGTTTTCGTGAACTGTAGAAGTCCACCTCCAACATAGAGTCTATTGTCTTCATAAACGATGTAGAAATCCATCTTCAAAATGTTGTGTCATGAACTGTAGAAATCCGCCTCCAATATAGAGTCTATTGTCTTCATTAACTATGTAGAAATCCATCTTCAAAATGTTGTGTCATGAACTGTAGAAATCCGCCTCCAATATAGAGTCTATTGTCTTCATTAACTATGTAGAAATCCATCTTCAAAATGTTGTGTCATGAACTGTAGAAATCCTCCTCCAATATAGAGTCTATTGTCTTCATTAACTATGTAGAAATCCATCTTCAAAATGTTGTGTCATGAACTGTAGAAATCCGCCTCCAATATAGAGTCTATTGTCTTCGTACACTGTGTAATAACCATCTCCAATATAGTCCATGTTGTCTTATGGTGTAGTCAACTGCTTAAGAAAAGAGTTTTTGTCGCTTTTATATATATTCATAAACTGTGAAGAAATCCATCTCCAATGTCTTGTACGTTGTCTTCATAAACTGTGAAGAAATCCATTTCAAATATCTTGTCTGTTGTTTTCGTGAACTGTAGAAGTCCACCTCCAATATAGAGTCTATTGTCTTCATAAACGATGTAGAAATCCATCTTCAAAATGTTGTCTGTTGTTTTCGTGAACTGTAGAAGTCCACCTCCAACATAGAGTCTATTGTCTTCATACACGATGTAGAAATCCATCTTCAAAATGTTGTGTCATGAACTGTAGAAATCCGCCTCCAATATAGAGTCTATTGTCTTCATTAACTATGTAGAAATCCATCTTCAAAATGTTGTGTCATGAACTGTAGAAATCCTCCTCCAATATAGAGTCTATTGTCTTCATTAACTATGTAGAAATCCATCTTCAAAATGTTGTGTCATGAACTGTAGAAATCCGCCTCCAATATAGAGTCTATTGTCTTCGTACACTGTGTAATAACCATCTCCAATATAGTCCATGTTGTCTTATGGTGTAGTCAACTGTTTAAGAAAAGAGTTTTTGTCGCTTTTATATATATTCATGAACTGCGTAGAAGTCAATCCAATACAAATATGACAAAAAGAACTTTCATTTGTCTCTATCAATAATATTCTATGTTCAGGTTTCTTAAGGTAGATCAACATATGAGACGGAGAGACAAATTTGTTCAGGGTCCACTTGCACAAAGCGATCTTAGCGCAAAGACTATCGTAAGCCTATGTTAAAGTATGGGAGTTAACTTAGTGCTAAGATCGCTTTGTGCAAGTGGACCCAGTATTGTTTTACTCAAGTGCACAGTTTTCCGAATTATGTTATAATAAAGGGTTTACAACAGTTAGGAGTGTCATATGTATTCGTGGTGAAATGTAGTTTTGGTGGGAAACAATTTTATCCTGTGGAATGAAAACATATAACGTTGAATCGAGAACTGTTAAAGAGTCCGTGGAGGTATAATAAATAGATTTCCTATAAGTGCTTCTGGATTAAAGTCTTTCATAAAAAAAGGTTTGTCTACAATTTGCTGACAGCATACTCAATGGCTTTCCTTCACACATCAAATGCCTTGAATAAAACGTGTTCAGTCCTTTAACATACCCTCAAGCCATGTCATAAGCCACAGCCCGGTATTTGTCCAATAATATAACAATTCACACCCCATTAACAATCTCATAACATCAACGCCGAAAGCATTAAAGGCAAAATCTCAATAGTACCTAGATTAATATCTGCCTGAAGATAGACTTATGGACCAAATCACCATGTCCTGTCACACAGCCGATGTCCAAGCCTGTATTAATGCATTGTGACAACCCAATCGTAGGCTTCACACGTCTTAAAGAAATCACGTTAACAGAAAGTAAACATTCCCTTTGTCGACAGATTTGGTCAGTGATCCGAGGAACCCGGACAGGATTGTCCACGGGAACACAGATAAAATTAAGTTATTTAAGACTTCAAGCTGGGTGGTATTAAAGACATATTATCTCAGTAATGGTATCACAATATGATTGACTCGCCTGGCTGCTTCGTATGAAGGGATTATATCGGTAGCCATGTACTCTAACCAAGGATACAACTCAACCAGAACGCCCACTTTCATCTGCATATTGACCTGTAAATCAATTAATTCACCCCTACGCTTGCCCCCCGAAAGCTTCATAAAGCTTCGTCTTAGCCACCATGGGATTAGCAGGACAACTAAAATACGGCCAGGGCAGCCATGCGAAAATCCCAGGCCACGATTGACACATATGTGGAAAAGAAAAGAAAAGCATGGAGTTAGCATTTAGGGCTAGAGCTTAGTGTCGGGGATTAGAGATTATCGTATTGAGATCTAGAGTTGAGAGAACGGAGGTGAGCGATCACGGAGATAGTCACGAACGTATCGGCAGGCGGCCAGGGGGACAATTAATGTTTTAAGTGTATGACACGCTGGCTGAGGGAGGGTCGATGGTCTTGAATGTTACAGTATGGTTGATGGGCCGATAGCTTTGTGTCTTCTTGGGAGCATGTGTTCTTGGAGAGACCATTTACATTGTTGCTAGAGACAAGCAAAGACCGGAATACCTATTGATTATTAAATGGGAGAACAAGGCAAGTAAGATTGACATTCCTACAACATTAACAGACCAAATCATGTTCAAGAAGTGGTCTAGTGTTAGCAAGCTCACAATATTTTTGGAAAACCTGTACGTGTTTTGAGCAGTGGATTTAATATGACGAACAATCGGCTCCGAGTGGACCATGGCCAGGTCAAACTGTCCAACATATTTTCTGACACAAATCATGACGCTCGTTTTGAATCTATGCGGAGGAACACCCGTAGTGCGAGGGTTCTTCGACGCCACGAAGATCTACGTAAGCAGTGTGAAAAAGAAGTCCGGGCGTATGAACGATGGCAGAAATTGGCAGCCTCAGAATTACGTCAGTTGCAGAGCAGATATTTGGAAAAACTCAGGAAATTCAAAAAATCTCTCAGCTATCACCCATCTAGTCAGCCCAGGGGTCCAGTAATTACACCAACTCAAAGGGAAGTGTCGTCTGCTAACACCATCCCTCATTATGTACGTTCCCGTGGCTCTCTCACACCTGTCCAGTCTGACAGAGAGGACCCGGATTTAGAACATCTGGACTCCCATCGTTCTCAAGCGAGCGTGGAACAGCTGGACTCCCATCGTTCTCAATCGAGCGTAGAACAACCGGATTCTCACCGTTCTCAGTTAAGTGTTGGACAACTCGACTCTCACCGTTCTCAGTCGAGTGTAGAACAATCGGATTCTTACCGTTCTCAGTTAAGTGTTGGACAACTCGATTCTCACCGTTCTCACTCGAGTGTAGAATCACCCAGGATACAGACTCCAAGAGATGATCTGAAGCTCCCATCTCCTCGAGCCAGATGCAGGTCTGGAGGTACCAACAGTGGTGCTGAAGCTGCAATGGAATCGCTGAGGATGTCTTCGTCAACTGTACCAGATACGCCCAGAATCTCAGATCCGCGTCGCAGACCCGGCTCCAAAACTGTCACCTTCTCAAGTCCCATTCCGACACCAAGGAGTGCAAGATCGTCAGGCACCCTCTTCCCCAGCGTCACCGACGTTGGACAACGTGGTCGAGCCTCTGGGAAGAACACCGGCGTTAAAGTGACAGCAGAAATGGTGGAGCTTACAGATCTTCGCAATCCTAAAGGGAAACATATGTTTAGTGTTACACGGGAGAATGGAACAGAAACTTACTCCAAAGGGAACAAAAAGATTGTTACATTCTTCGTTTGACAGAATGTCGGAACAGATTTGCTGTGGAAATTCTGGTATAATGTGTTCACCTTCACAACACCGATGTTTGAGTCAACCACATCACTATTTGTACTGAACTATATGGAGGCATTACTGATTTCGCTACCTATCACTGTGATGTGAGGTTTTGGTGACGTATCTTTTCTTCACGTTCTTCAAAAACATTTTTTCATTCTGATGTACACTGAACAGTATGTTTATGGATAATATGGGGTGTACATACAATGTATGTTGTGTTACCAGTAGCATGTTTTATCACAATATGTCCAACTCCTAATGAATTAAAGAAACAAACGTTAACACGGACGGAAGAAATTCCACTGAAATCGCCTGGATTTTCAATTTACGGATTATGTAATAATAGTAGTTACACCTTGTATGAATCTAAAACCGTTATGGTTCAAAGGTGAGTCTGGCACTTCACAGTGGTTTGACACTGTGAACTGCAACAAGATATTTGTGAATAAACTAAAATAAGAAAAAAATATATGTAAAGTAGAGCTTAAAGTTCATGTAAATCGTATATACATATAATCATTCATTGTTATCTCGTATGAGTGAGTGAGTGAGTATGGTTTTACGTCGCTTTTAGCAATATTCCAGCAATATCACAGCGGGGGACACCAGAAATGGGCTTCACACATTGTACCCATGTCGGGAATCGAACCCGGTCTTCGGCGTGACGAGCGAACGCTTTAACCACTAGGCTACCCGACCGCCCCTATCTCGTATGAATGGAAGTCAAGTGAACTTATGTGGTGATGTGTTGTCCGTCTGTCATTACATTTTACATTTTCGACATACCTTTGGGTTCATACAGCTGTACAGATGGGTGATCACAGTTGTTGCCTCTTAACAGGGCCTAAAGAATTACGACCTATAAGTATCACTGTGACTGCCGATAGTGTCATGGCAGTCATAGTGCCCCCGGGGATGGTTTGGTCCAGTGCATGGCCAGTTACACATGATGGTGTATCTTTTGAACTTCTACTGTTACTTAGCTTCTTCTGCCTACCCTTGCATGGCACACGCATCTACTATAATATATTCCAGAACAATTCGGGGCGGTCGGGTAGCCTAGTGGTTAAAGCGTTAGCTCGTCACGCCGAAGATCCGGGTTCGATTCCCGACGTGGGTACAATGTGTGAAGCCCATTTGTGGTGTCCCCCGCCGTGATATTGCTGGAATATTGCTAAAAGCGGCGTAAAACCATACTCACTCACTCACTCACTCCAGAACAAGTCAGGTGAGCTTCAGGGTCGATCGAGTGTGGATCTACTGAGGTTACTACTACAGTGAATATAGGCATAATTAGCAAGGGGAGTATTTCCTTCTTAAATTATGTTCTTTTTTAACGGGGAATGTAAAATTTTATTTAATTTACATTGATTTTCCTTTTCCTATATTTGTTTTATGTCAATATGTTGCATAAAACCCAAGAAAATGACATTTAATTTTCAGAATATCCCACGCCATTAATTCTGATCTGGAAATGATATCCCGAGATCTGAATCCATGTCATGTATAAAATCAGTTTGTCATTTTCAAAATTGGACATAAACTTTATTTAGGATTGAATGTTATTACATTCCTGACAACTGATAGATATTATGATTAAAAGTGATAACAAAGTCGGAACCACACACAAATCAGCTCTTCATCTTCAAAATCCACAACAACAAAAACTGTATCATTACTGGTGGGTGCTGGAATGAACTCCTATCACCAATGAGTCCCAATATCTCATTCGAGGGAGTTGGGGGCAATGCCACTTTAAGCACTATTCCAGCAATATCACGGCGGGTATACCAGAAAAGGGCATCATACATGGTAATCATATTGGGAATAGAACCCTTGTCTCCGACATGACGAGCGAGCGCGTTAGCCATGAGACTAACCCATCGCTCCTTATCAAATGGATATATCTTGTTTATGGACATCCGATACTGTTTTCTTGTTGCTCTTGATCGACAGTTTCCGAAGGGAATTGTTATGTATTACCGCGCTGTCGCTTTTTCAATGATTGATTTTGCCAGAGTGAAATCAAGAAAACATTAACACGTCTACAATGTCTGCCGACGTACTTCTGCTACGCTGGGAACGGATCCTATTGCCAGACAAACGTCATGAATAATTGTAGGAATAAACTTGGCCTGCTTGATCAGCAACGACAGAGGAAGGATATGTCAGTCGGCGTTACTTGAAAACGCAACCTGGTCAATACTATCGTTTAGACATCAATTACCTTTCTCCAAACTAATTAGATATTGATCCTAATTATCGTGTAATGTGTCTGCAGTGACTGTTTTGGTACGGAGTGATTCTACATAATGACTTGCCCACAAACTCATGCATGACTTCACATGCTTAAATGCCTGGAAACACTGTCTCAAACATTCTAACCAGCCATTTTAGTTCAATGTTAAGAAACAAAATATCCTTGTTGAAAGAACAAGTGTTCGTTTGGCAAGATTCACGAACCATTATTGACGGCGAATCGGGCGATATACTCCGTTATTTTCTGTTCTTAGCGTCTTTCATTATAACTATGTTAAGAGTACAACGCTTCATACCGAAAGACGTTATAAGGTGGTAGTTGCTATTATACTGACTGGCGCTCGGTTCTATGTGGAAAAACAAAGACTGGTCGTTCGAGGTGAGGTGAAATTGGGTTTAACGTCGCGTCCAAGATTATTGCACTTATATAGCGACGTGCATGTAAGTGTATGTGTTTGTGTGGCTGCTTGTACTAGTCCGGACTGATGCCGATTTATAGTGCTAGCTCACTGAGATACCATGCCGCAGTTTAACATGAATACCCCACTCAGACACAGCATACTGACTCCGAGCCGACCAATCCTTGTTTTAGCCCCTTAAGGACTGGACGACCCGGAGTGAGTATACAGTGAGTATATAGTGTCTGAGTGGGGTATTCATGTTAAACTGCGGCATGGTATCTCAGTGGGCTAGCACTATAAATCCTAGCGCCAGACAGGGTAACAACAAGTACCATCTTTTAACGACTTTTGGTATAACGGGGCCGGGGATCGAACCCTGGACCTTCCGCTCTCCGGGCGGACGCTCTACCACTAGACCACGGAGGCGGTCACTGGTCGTTCGAAGTCAGTGTGATGTGTCTGAGTGGGATGTCCATGTTAAATAGCGGCATGGTATCTCAGGATACAAGTCCTAGCCCAACTAGTACAAGCACACATACACACACACACACACACACACACACACACACACACACACACGTGCATGCATATCGCTATATAGATGCAATAACCTTGAACGTGACGTTAAACACATTTCACCTCAGCTTAAGCGTACGTACGATTGATTCAATAGGAGTTTCAGACATTACGTAAGATGAGTTCAACGCGACTTTGAACAGCATTTCGGTTACAGCACGACTTCTCAGCTTAAAGTGAGAGTAAAACCCAAGATCATGCAGACCATAGACATTTATAGGTACAAAAAGACACGTGTCAAGTACGATGTAGGGCAAAGAATCTTCACTTGGGTGTATCTTGGATTCGACACCGAGATAACCGGATCCTGTCACAGCTAGAGGATTCCACACTGCTCAGAACATGTGGGCGCCTGGTCCATTTGTTTGAAATGAAATCCAACATGATTTACAAAGAGTGAAAAGCTTTGTCTTGCTGAAATTCAGGAAACTGAAAAAGTTGGATCAGAAACCCATTGTACCTGTAACAAGCGGGTATGACGTCGTCCTTAGGTGCCTGTTTATATTCTGGTTTGACAAGTATATCGGGCTGATATATCGATATATTCAGAGCAATTTGGCCACAGAATAATGGGCACGTCACCAAATATCATATTAGTATTCAACCAAAGGAATGCGAACCTATGACGTTGATGTCGCTCAGGCTGATTAATGATTGGAAAATAATCTCACGGCAAATGAACTAATGTCTGATCTGAAGTGTCTAATGACATGGAAATATCTCCATGAGTAACATTTAAATCAAAGTAGAGTACACGAATGACATGCAATTACCGTAAAATATATTAAAAAATTACAAGAGACAGGTAAATTCTGGGTGGATCAGATCAAATGTAATATCGATCTTCAAGAGTCTTGTCAATGTTGTCGGGTGTGTTTATGGACAATTGAAAAGGTCACTTGACTTGCTGGAGTGTTCTAAAGCCCTTTGTGAACCTGTCCAACGCCCCAGCACAGTGTACACAATGTCAGGAGGTCCATGCTTGAGAATATGTGTGATATGTGACCATCTGGCCGACAGCATATAGGCCGACGAGGTGAGATATGAAATATAACATAATACAACTGGACAATCTGTACATAAGGACACGTTACTGAATGAATAGAGGACTGTCGGTGTCATAGACTAACTTGAACACGGGATACCTAACATAATGTATAGGTGACAAGCGGTGTCAAGGCGAACTTGAACATAGGGATACGTAACTGCATGTATGTATAGGGAGGGGACTGTCGGTGTCATAGACTAACATGAACACGGGATGCCTAACATAATGTATAGGTGACAAGCGGTGTCAAGGCGAACTTGAACATAGGGATACGTAACTGCATGTATGTATAGGGAGGGGACTGTCGGTGTCATAGACTAACATGAACACGGGATGCCTAACGTAATGAAAAGGTGACAAGCGGTGTCAAGGCGAAATTGAACATAGGGATACGTAACTGCATGTATGTATAGGGAGGGGACTGTCGGTGTCATAGACTAACTTGAACACGGGATACCTAACATAATGTATAGGTGACAAGCGGTGACTAGTGGTGTCTAGGCGAACTTGATCATAGGGATACGTAACTGTATGTATAGGAGACTGTCGGTGTCATAGACTAACTTGAACACGGGATACCTAACATAATGTAACGGTGACAAGCGGTGACTAGTGGTGTCTAGGCGAACTTGATCATAGGGATACGTAACTGTATGTATAGGAGACTGTCGGTGTCATAGACTAACTTGAACACGGGATACCTAACATAATGTAACGGTCACTAGCGGTGTCAAGGCGAACTTGAACATAGGGATACGTAACTGTATGTATGTATAGGGAGGGGACTGTCGGTGTCATAGACTAACTTAAACACGGGATACCTGACATAATGTAACGGTCACTAGCGGTGTCTAGGCGAACTTGATCATAGGGATATGTAACTGTATGTATAGGAGACTGTCGGTGTCATAGACTAACTTGAACACGGGATACCTGACATAATGTAACGGTCACTAGCGGTGTCTAGGCGAACTTGATCATAGGGATATGTAACTGTATGTATAGGAGACTGTCGGTGTCATAGACTAACTTGAACACGGGATACCTGACATAATGTAACGGTCACTAGCGGTGTCTAGGCGAACTTGATCATAGGGATATGTAACTGTATGTATAGGAGACTGTCGGTGTCATAGACTAACTTGAACACGGGATACCTGACATAATGTAACGGTCACTAGCGGTGTCTAGGCGAACTTGATCATAGGGATATGTAACTGTATGTATAGGAGACTGTCGGTGTCATAGACTAACTTGAACACGGGATACCTGACA